TACTCAGGATTATATGTGGCTCCAAATTAATCATACATTTAATATTTCACAGTGGAACAGACATTCCATGATGGCCCATTGTTCAGTATTATACTTGGATGCTTTGCTATTATATAGTATTTGTTAAAGGAACATCCAAATACTGGTGAAAAGAATTTATACAGACCTTTCTACAGAAATGTAAAGTTAAATAAATTAGCTGGATAATTTACCTGAATAATTTGGTAGCCTCATAAGTTTGAGCCCTAAAAAACTTGGAGGATTATTAGGATATGTGAGTTAATTTGTAGAGATTTTCACTGTGTATAGACAACAGAATATTTGATGTGAATGCTCATGTTGGTAATTAATGCCTTGGGGTGTATTTTAGGAATTTAGTGTTTTCTTAAATTTTATCTGTTGTAAGAGTAAAAAATAATAAACTTAATTATTTTACATAAATTTGATTTGTTTGATCTTTGATGAAAAGAGAAGTTTATATATTAGTCTCCAATACATTTCCTTAAAAATAATTACACAGAGTGAAATTTTGGAAACAGTTTTTTGTTTGTTTGTTTTTTGTAAAAGTATTGGTTTTGTAGAAGTATTATTTGGTTGAGTTTATTTGAGATGGGGTTTCTCTGTGTAGCGCTGGCTGTCCTGAAACTCTCTCTGTAGTCCAGGCTGGTCTCAAACTCAAGAGGTCTGCCTGGCTCTGCCTCTTGAGTGCTGGGATCAAAAGCATGTGCCACAATCGCCTGACTAATTCTAAACAGAATTTTACAAAATACTTTTACAATACTGGCCCACACCTTTAATCCCAGCACTCAGGAGGCAGAGGCAGCTGGATCTCTGAGTTCGAGGCCAGCCTGGTCTACAGAGCGAGTTCCAGGACAGTCAGGGCTGCACAGAGAAACCTGTCTCGAAAAACAACAACAAAATTAACTGGTTGAGGTTTTCATCAGATGACTGCAGAAATGTAAAGCCCATCTTTTCCTGAAGAACATTTTATGATCCTGGACTGTGCTTCCCCTGTCACTCATCACCTGACCACTTGTGCCCAGTTATTAAAAGGTACTTTATAAAAGGTGCTTACTGACAGCCTGATTACTCCAGATTCTGCAGAACCACAAGGTCATGAGATAGCCCCAGGAAAATCACTTAAGAAAGCATGGAGAATTTACAGACAAGACTTGTGTGGCAGAGTCAGCATTATTTGGATTGTTCAAGGAAAAGATGTTGACCATGCAAGTTAAAATAAGTATTTTATTGAGAAACGTGCTGTCAGTGAGAAAGTAACATACAAATATTTTCATTTAATAAAATTAGCTTATCCCTTAATCCTAGAAACATCCCTTAAAGGCCTTTATCATCTGAAACTGCAAATCACTCTGATCTGTGGTTTTATTTTAGAACCTCCCATGGAAAATAATGTTTCAGATTCCATTTGTGCAAATGAAAGAGCAGACTTAGTAAGGTTTACTCACAAACAAAACAAATTCCCGCCCTTGAATCTGGGTTGTCTGCATGCATGTGAGTTCTGTCTTGTGTCACCAGAGGCCGCTAGAGCAGGTGCTTCTGCATAGCCCTGGAGTGACAGTGTGGGCATATGGGCATAGGGAGTGACAGTGTGGGCGTGTGGGCATAGGGAGTGACAGTGTGGGCGTGTGGGCATAGGGAGTGACTGTGGGCGTATGGGCATAGGGAGTGACTGTGGGCGTATGGGCATAGGGAGTGACTGTGGGCATATGGGCATAGGGAGTGACTGTGGGCGTGTGGGCATAGGGAGTGACAGTGTGGGCGTGTGGGCATAGGGAGTGACAATGTGGGCGTGTGGGCATAGGGAGTGACAGTGTGGACGTGTGGGCATAGGGAGTGACAGTGTGGGCGTGTGGGCATAGGGAGTGACAGTGTGGGCATAGGGAGTGACGACAGTGTGGGCATAGGGAGTGACGACAGTGTGGGCATAGGGAGTGACAGTGTGGGCATAGGGAGTGACAGTGTGGGCATAGGGAGTGACAGTGTGGGCGTGTGGGCATAGGGAGTGACTGTGGGCGTGTGGGCATAGGGAGTGACAGTGTGGGCGTGTGGGCATAGGGAGTGACAGTGTGGGCGTGTGGGCATAGGGAGTGACAGTGTGGGCATAGGGAGTGACTGTGGGCGTGTGGGCATAGGGAGTGACTGTGGGCGTGTGGGCATAGGGAGTGACAGTGGGCGTGTCTTTCCCTTCCACCTAAACATCCCAGTCCCACGATCAGAACATAACTAAGTATCATTTCTTTTTAAATATACTAGGCTTCCATGCAAGTTTTTTTTAATTATGTATTTGCTACATTAAAAGGGTCAGGGCACTAACCCCATAAATAATTTTCTAGGTGGCTTTTATATATTAAACACTATGAGATAAATAATGTTTAAAATAAACTAAACCATCACTGATATCTAACAATTAACTGGCTGTTCAAAGGATGTGCAAATTAACTGAAGGTAAAGCTTTATCTGAAGGTGTTACGGTCTTGATATGAAAACCCAGCCGCAGTGTGGGGGCCTTGGAGAAGACTGGATCGCGAGAGAAGAGGTGTTGAAATGGGATTTGCCTTTCTACGGGTGAAGAGACCAGAGCCCTTCCCTCCACCACGTGTGGCTCCATCTGTGAACCTGAACCAGGGCCTCACCAGACGCTGAGTGTGCCGCCGCCGCCGCCACCATGATCCTGCACTACCAGCCTCCAGCCCTGGAAGGAAGACTTCCTGCTGCTTGTGAGCTATCTAGTTCGAGTCCTTTTCCAAGAAGGTCTCAGTGGACTAAGCAGCATTTGGTCATTTTTAAACTTACACATTTTTAGACATGGACACATTTAAAGACTGAATTCTAAAGGTAGGATTCCACTAGGTTTAGAATTTGAAACTTCTGACTATATACTGTGTCAATGCAGGAAATAAAATAGATTTTCCTTCTACAAGAGGATACTTTGAAGTGCCAGAAATAGTCATGTCATGGCAATACTTTTGATAGCATTTGAATGAATATGCTCAAATTAAATTTTTAACTTGAAAATTATAGAGATAATATTAATGTTCTTAGTCTCTTCTTATTGGCACACATTAGTACTTTAGATAGAAGACAAGACAAAGCTTTAAAATCAGTGTTTTATCAAAAATAAATTTAAAAATTACTTTTAAAAAATAGTGGGGTTAGCCAGGCATGGTGGCACACACCAATAAGCCCTGAACTCAGGAGGCAGAGACAGGAAGATCAGGAGTTCAAAGCCATCCTTGGCTACATAGGGAATTTGAGGCCAGCCTGGCTACATGAGACCTTATCTAAAAAATAAAACAGAAGTTTTAATTTTTAAATGGGTAGTATTTGTCAAAGAAGTGGAAAGAAAAATAAAACCTTTTTCTAGAAAAAATAAAAATCTGTCGGGGGAAGTGTTATCAGTAAATGTAAAGTTGTCTTAAGGTTCATTTTTAGAGGAGCAAGCCTGCCAACTTTGGCAATTTAAAAAGTTAGATACTGACTTTGAAATTATAACAAACGGTCGCAGAAAGAAATGATTTTCAAATATTGGTACGATAGTGGTACCTATAGCAATTACTGTGTTCATTATCAGAACGTTGAACTCTAGGCTTTCTCTCGTCAGTTTCCCGTGTGCTTTACATGCACGTAAGGTTAGAGCGTGTCAGTGCAGGGTAGGAATGCATTTGCAGGCGAGATGACGGAGGCTCAGGAAGGTAACCTGCCCGAGGCCTCACAGCTAAAGTGCCAGACGTGAGCCTAGAGGGTACGATTCCACGTGGGGCTCTCGCCTTCATAATTTAAGTCTTAGGGGAAAGTGAGGATGGAGATGAGTGGCCAATTTCTTTATAGCTTTCCTGTTGGGGGTTGCTCACAGTAGCGGCAGGACTCTGTTCAGGGCTCTTCTGAAGGAATCTGTAAAACAAATACTCGTCCCGGAATTCATAATCGTTGGTGATGTGTTGGATGACTCCCCCCTGCACCAGCCGGTCTCCGTAGATGACAGCTTCACCACGGTCCGAGGCAAGGCCCACTTCAATTAGCCAGTTCACCAGGTCAGAGCCACAGAAGGTCCCAGCAGAAGTCTTTGCGCCACACCTGTATGTCAAAGGAATGATTCAGCCATATGCTCTGTAACTCTGGTATCGGCACTGCATGACAGAGGATGAGCAAAGAAAAATGTACAGGGAATGAGGAAAGACAATGTGATAGTTAAGAGCAGGACAGAAATGGAACTGTTCTAAACATGAAGGATTTGTTACCTTTCCTGACCCTAGAAAGACTCTGGTGAAAAAAAAAAATGCCAGTAATACTTGTGAAAACAAACACTTTTTAAAAATGGCATAGATAAGTGTATTGCCTGAGAAAAATTCTTTCAGGAGGGGAGCACGTGTGTATGTGTGTGGCATGTGTCTCTGTGTTTGTGCATGTTTGAATGTATTGTGTGTGGGGTACATGTATGTACACGTACATGTGGAAGCCTGAAGTTGACAACGGTTGACTTTGATTCCTCCCCACTTTATTTACTGAGGCAGGGTCTCTTACTGGACCTGGAGCTTGCCCATTCCAGACAGATCCCCTGCCTGTCGACCTCCTGTGGGATGACCGGCAAGCCACCCCACCTGCCCAGCTTTTATGTGGGTTCTGGAGATCCCAAATCCAGTTCTCATGCTGTGAGGCAAGCACTCTGACTACTGAGTCGTCTCCCTAGCCCCCAAGAAGTTTTTCTTTTTTTTTTGAAAACTTGATTTAATTTTCAAGAATTTAAAAAGTTATGTATGGCATGTGGATATTATACTGAGCAGTGTAGATTAAGACAATTTTTGACAATAGTTTTTACATTTTTATTTACATTTTTTATGTGTATGGGAGTTTTATCTGCATTTATGTCTGGTGGACACCATGTGCATGCAGTACCCAAGGCCAGAAGAGGGCATCAGATCCCTTGGAACTGGAGTTAACAGATGGTTATGAGCCACCATGTGGAATCAAACCCAGGTCCTCTGGAAGAGCTGCCTGTGCACTTGAACTGCTGAGCCATCTGTCTACACCCCCTCCAGAAGTATCTTTTAATAGCAGCATGGCCTGTGTATGTTATGTGCACTTGCATGCACGTAATGTGTGCACATGTATGTGGGGATCTGAGGTCACAGTCTGCCTCTTTCCTCCATGGCTCTCCATCTTGGTCGGGACAGAGTCTCACTGAACTTAAAGCTCGTGGATTTGGCTGCTTTCTCTCCCCCCAGGCCTGAGCTGACAGGCACACGTCACCAGTCCAGCTCTCTCTTGGGTTTTAAAGACCCAACTCAGGCTCTTGTGCTTACGTGGCAGGCACATCATTGACTGTCACAGCTCCCAGGGTGGCCTCGTACCTGTCCACAGATGACTCGTGTGTAACTGTTACAGTTGTGTCTGGGATGCATGCCTGTAATTCCAGCTCCCGAGAGGTTGAGACAGCAGAGCGGGTTTGAGCCGTGGGTTACATGAGGAGATTGTGTCTCAAAGAACAAAAGTAAAACTTCTTTTTGTTCTATTGCTTTATTAACCTGCTGAAATCAAACTTTCATGTTCAGCTTATAGCACCCGCAGGCTCTTTCCCTCAGTAGCCAGGACAATCATTTGCTTCATTAGGAATCGGAGCAAACAAGTGAGATCTGTCCTACAGCAAAGCCAAGATTTTAAAAGTGTGCTTTGGGGCGGGAGAGATGGCACAGTGGTTAGGGCTCAGTGTCCTTCCAGAGGCCCCCGGTTCAGTTCCCAGCAGCTACATCAGGCAGCTCAGAAGTGCCTGTAACTCCAGCTCCAGGGGATCTGACACCCTCTTCTGACCTCCAAAGCCATGCACACAGACACATGCGCATTCATAAAATAATAAAAAGCAATCTTTAGGAAGCATGCTTTGATTTTTATTTGCTTCCGGAATGTTTAATATTTGTCTTCCTAATGCAAATCTGGATTGCTTAAGTATGAGCAGATAAAGAGAAAGAAATGCCAAACAAGAGAACCAATTACATGAATTATGAACATTTTCTCACAAATGTGCACTAGACAGCAAGAACCTCCACAAGCATCAATCAAGCTGTGAAATCTGGAGTGCCTGACAACAGGAAATAGAGGTGAAGAGCAGGATGAAATGACAAACGGGGGTCAAAAAATTCAAGCATTTTACCATAAATACAAAGTTTCACATGTAAGAATTAGAAGAAAGTTAATAACATAAAATTGTTCTCTAGTATCTGAAATATCAGTGTTAGTGTCTGGGTCTTTTCGATGTAGAGGTGATACCTTCTGTCCCGGTCAGTAACTGAAGATATTATTTCCTGATTGCTGTGAGCAGGCTGCTGTCCCAAAAGCCTAAGCAATAGTACAGAGTGTCAGAGAATGTGACATGGGACAGGCTGCAGATCTGGAAAGGAGCAGGAATCAGGCTGGTTTATACCAGCTGGTGCCCATTCAGCCATCTGGGACCTGGTAGCTCAGCAAATGCTAAGAGTTCTGCTTCCTGACAGTTGGCAAGCGCAGTAACCTGACGGAAACTGTGGATTTTCTTAAGAGAAAATTTTAAAGCAATGTTAAATTGTTCAAACTATCCATAGGCAGTATCCTGAAATTGTGCTTAGCCTCTCTAGGTAGAAAAGTCACTTTTCTCCAGAGTTTATCATTGTTATTAATTAGGCAAGGCTCATCAGACATTTGGCCATTAAAGTAAGATTTTTCTCTGTGGTTTATTTATTATTATTTTATGTGTGTGAGTGTTTTGCCTATGTATATGTGCATCATGTGCATGCCTGGTGCCCAAGGAGGCCAGTAGAGGGAGTCGGATCCTGAAACTGCAGTTACAGAAGAAGGTTGTGAGTCACCATGTGGTGCTGGAAACCCGGGGCTCTGTAAGAACAAGTGCATTCAAATGCTGAGCCATCTCTCCCGGCCCCAAAGGAGGACTTTTTTTTTTTTTTCCCTTAAGGAAAGGAAATGTGAGGTTTTGAGAACTGAACTTGCCAAGGGGTACCAGCTCAGAAGTTCTAGTATTAACACTCAGAGAGTCCCCTTCCCACTCCCTCAACTAGGCTCTATTCTTCCGATTGTCAGTGGCATGCATGTTGAGCATAGTGTCAGAGTCCTTAGAAATGAACCATCTTGAATAGTAATCCCCACATCTTTAGAAATACACATAAAGGTATTAGGTTCTTTACTTTTTGCTTTGTTTTATTTCCTCTTTGATGACAACTAGAACTATCAGCACACTGTAATATTTGATTACTCATAGTCCATCATTTCCTGCTGCAGCACATTCTGTACCTTGGGGATTAGAAGAATAAATATCATGTCACAAAATAATGACTAGGACTGGGGGTGAAATAAATATCATAGAATTAATTAAGAGGGAGAAATTTCATTTCATTCTCTTGACAGCATCATGAAATGACATAGTACTAGGAGATGAGAATATAAAATCCCTTCTAAACCTAGTGTTTTTCAGTGCTTTATGAGAGACACTAATGGCCAACATGAAGAGAATGTTAATACCCTGCCCAACAGCTCACATTTTATATAGGAATCAGAAGCTACCTGACATTAAATGTAAAAATCAAAGTGATATGTCATTTTTATATCTTATTTCTTAAACTAAAAACTTACCCACAGTTATTAGCTTGTTAAAACCTAATGTTAATAATCTGGAATCTATGTTTCTGAACCCTGTACTGGCTTTACCTTCTTTCTCTGACGATGTTTCGGATGCACAGGTCACGGTGATAATGGACAAATTGCTGACAGGTCATTTTTATTTCCTCAGAAACAGGGGAGTCTCTGTTTTCTGCTGTTTCCTTATTGTTCCACAGGAATTCAAGCCTGAAAACCAAAATTTAAGCGGGCTGTTTCTTAAAGAAAACAGGTGTGAGAAGATCCAAACTGCCTCACCAAGTAGCTATTCAAAATCCATCACCAAAGCTGTCATCAATAACCAGATGTCATTAATCTCTGAACCAGAAAGGCCCCTGTCCTCACCCGCTCTTGGAGCAGGCTGGGGCGGGGCTGACCCTTTATACACGCTGCAGATACGTTTGACCCACTTCAGTTTGTACTAAGATATTCCTTCTGTCTCTGACCTTTTTTTTTTTTTTTTTTTTTTTTTTTTTTTGGTTTTTCGAGACAGGGTTTCTCTGTGTAGCTTTGCGCCTTTCCTGGGACTCACTTGGTAGCCCAGGCTGGCCTCGAACTCACAAAGATCCGCCTGGCTCTGCCTCCCGAGTGCTGGGATTAAAGGCGTGCGCCACCACCGCCCGGCTGTCTCTGACCTTTTTGCAGCCCAGACCTAGCTTAGACACTAGGCCGGATGTCTCACACTTCCTCAGAGACTAAAACCAAAACTAAGCCAACCAAGGTAACTTATGGATAGGCATTTTATTTCACCATCTCCAACATTAGTAGCACAGAAACAAGCGCCAGGGTCTGGAGTATAAAACAATCCATTCTGTCCATCCAGGCAAGACAACTGCTGACCACTGACCTGGCATTATGAAGCTGGCGACTACGCTGACTGGCTTTTCTTTTATACTTTTCTTTAAGGAATGCTGATGTCCCTTAGCAATGACATCTTAATGAAAATACTGACGGTGATGATGGTGGAGAAGGGGCAGACACTCTCAACTGGCACTCCTTATAGAGTAAGTAGGCTGAATTCCACTAGCCCTTCTAGTGTCTATGAATTTTCCCTCGAGAGCAAGTGGAGAACAAACATTTTTCCCTGCCTCTCTCTCCACCCCATGTTGAAACCTTTACCTTGTTATTTTTCACAAAGAAACCTTGATCTTCCTTAAAAGAAACCTTCCTAGAAGCCAACAAAACCCCCAAAGTTGAGAGAATCCTTGAATTTTCTGTAAACACTCAGTTTGATAGAAAGAGAAAGCTTATTGTCAAAGGAGAAGAAGAATCAGATGTAGACTTTGATGAGGAATCCAGCACCTACGACTTCCATTTCCAAGTTTCATTCCACTATATATAGTTAATAGCATTGCTAGAAGTCAGTGCCCATCAATTCTTGTTAAAATGCAAATTACATTGCTGGATTTATAATACTTCTTCCAATACTTTCTCTGCAATTATCTGCAACAAATATGTGATTTCACAGATAACCTTTGTGTGGTATTTATGGTCTCCTAGCAGATATAAAAGTATAAAAAGTATCAATATTTTAATAGAATGGCCTTGTCATCACAAAGGCTTATTTCAAAACTGAATTTACCTTCTTTTGAAAGGTAGGATGATTAAATGTTTGTCCAGCCCAAAGATTCCAAAGGAAATAAATCCCTAGGAGAGAAAACAGTTACTCTGTTTGATTCAACAATACAACCTTAAGAAATTAAGGCAGTTAGTGTGTGAGGAAGCAGCCGATAGTGATGGGAGCAACATTTTAATTCAGCATTCAAAGCAGACTGAAGTTCAGTGTCTGCAGGCACACGACACCCGCTTCCCAATCATTCTGTCCTAGTAATTATGATGGGTGCTAAAAGCCAGTGTTGAAGAACTGCATTTGCATGTCAGCTCCTGAAGAAAAACAAAATCATTTAAAGCCTACATGTTTGTGTTTCCCTCTTTTTTCTAAAAGAAAATCTCTCAGTGAGTGCCCAAGTACTTATTATTTTTCTGTTGAAATATAATTAACAAGACCTATAATATCTAATTGTAATACAGTTAGCATTATGTTGTAGATATGAAAGGTCCCCCAAAGACTTATGCATTGCAAGCATGGTTCTTCATGTGCCGTTACATGAAGCTAGAGGGTGGGCTTAGCAGCGGGGAGTCCAGAGTTCTCTTCTGGAAAAGCTGAGCTCAGTTCCCAGCACTCATGCTGAGTGGCTCAAAACTTCTTCCAGAGGATCTGACGCCCTCTGCTGGCCTCCACAGGCAACTGTACTCACATGCACATACCCCACCTTTCCCAGACACACCAATAAGACAGACATACACATAATTAAAAATTTGTAAATACAAAATATTACATGAAGGACTTGATTGTCTTAAGTACAAATAGTCAGAAGGGAACATCTCACTACACTAGATCTTTAAAAGGAAAATAGGATTGGAGTGAGATTGTGTCTTCTCATGCCTTTGAGCCACTTGAGACATAAGCTGTATGGATAGCATTTGAAGTACAACATTCCTGCCATTAGTTCTGTTCTTGACAAAGCCCTGTGGCATGGAGCTTGCTTGGTTCCCGTCCTAACATGGCTCAATCTGGAGTAGGCTTTCTGAATGCAAAATGCTTAGTGGGGCTGTGAATTTTCAGCCTCGTATTCTATAGTTGGGTAATGTCAGATCTTAAAATAGTATCACAAGTGAAACTGGTATCAGATGGCTCTGGGGCACCCATGTTTGTCTGTAATGAACTTATTATATAATGTGTTCCTTTATACTTTGCTGGTTTTCTTCCAATAACAATGTCAAAACAAGCAGGAAACACTCTGAGTGGTTAGTGGAAGGCGAAAATATGTAGAAGCAGAAACTGACAAATTTTAACTACCTTATATGGCAAAATATTTCAAATTTAATAGGCAGTGATTTCCAACACAGTATTTTTCAAGTTGATATTCAGTTTATGGATGACTGACTATTCTCTAATGAAAAAGTAAGGGGTTGAGTTGGGGATGTGGTTCAGTGTGGTTACATGTGGTCACTAGTATGCCTAGTGTGTACAAGTGAAAATTCAATCCCTGGCACCTTAAAAAAGAAGAGATAAGAAAAGCAGGTTGATGAAAAGATCAAATTTTGAACTTTGCATATAAAATATTTCCCAAAATTTAAAATGTTATTTTTCTTTAAATATCCTCCTTTTTGTCCCAGTGTTAGGGATTAAACCCAAGGCCTTCTAAATGCCAGACATTAAATATAAATTTTAATAGTAACATGAGAGGGGGATGATAGTGTCTATTTTGTAGGTATCTTGGTATTTACATGAAATAATGAACATAAAATCCTTAACAAGGGTTGGTACAGGGTAACCTCTGGAGGAACACTACTACTGTTTCTGCTAAAATGTATTTATATATCACATGATTTTTAAAATACTGATTTAAGGAGCTGTCATTCAAAAAACCTGAGATATTTAGTAGTGTTAAGTAGCCAAACTAAGGCTCAGAGAAGCAGGTTATCTTCCAAAGTGAGTTAGGAAGATCATAAGTTTAAGAAAAATTTGGGGACATCTTGTTCCTGCTTAAATCATTATTCTTCATCTCAATGCCAAAGCAAAAAAAAAAAAAGTCTTTGGTATTTCTGGTTGAAGCATCAGCGTACATTCTGATGACTTCAACCAATATAATAATTCATCTCTATGGGGAGACAGGCAGCAGCTGTCAGCTGTCATGCGTACCAGCAGCTGATAAACAAACTGAACCCTTTTGATGTAAAAGAAAACACCGTCTGCACCACCCTCCCCCAATCACCTCACCCGAGAAAACAACCCTCTCGTTCTCAGTCAATAAATACCTGGCCAAAGTTAAACACGGCACAGAAAAACTGTAATTCAACATAGAGTCGTCCAGTCTCGTGGTTGAACAGCCACCACAAACAACTAGAGAGATTCTGTCAAGGGAAGAAAAAGCCACTTGAAAATGAAGCAGAGAATCATTTCTCCCCATCCAGCGCACAGTATGATAACTTCTCTAGCTAATAATTAGGGGGAAAGACTACAGGGAAAAACACCGAGAGAATGTCGAAGCTTTGTCTTTCAAACAAGAGGTTTCAACCTTCCTCTTGACAGATGCCACTCAAACTGTCTATTCTGATCAACTTGGAAGCAAGAAGACATGAGCCATAATACAGAAGCTTACATAATAGATCAGGACTGCCGACTAGCCTACACAGGATGGATTTTAAAATTAGTTTGACACAAGAAAACAGTTCTATCACTAAGCAGCAGCTCCTGGCAGCAGTTCTTGTTTTGGATTCTTGTTCTTGGATGGCCGTTAAGTGTTGCTGCCTAATCCATGCTATGTAAGGAGCATCCAGTGTGAGGCGGCTGCAGAGGCTTTTGGCCCACCTCCCATCTCTAGGGGGTCACACTCGAAGCATTGGAAGGGATCATGTGTAACAACTGATAATTCACAAATGAGAATAACAAAGGAAAGCCCTTCTATAGTTAAAGAAATGTACACAATAAAATTAAGTACTGTATTTATAAATTATAACACCGAAAATCTTTCAATATTTTATGCTGGCATGAAGGCTCTATGAATGTGCACTACCCCTCTGGAAAAGAATCAATAGAATACATCTGTGTCATAGAAATGCTTCTAGACTTTGATGCAGGGTTCTCCACCTCAGGAATCTACCAATAGAAAACACAATGTCTGGAGGTGTTTATTAGGGCATTTTGAATAAAGAAGTACTTGAATAAATTATGATGTTGCTTTTTTGTGATTATTGGGAAATAATTTAAAACAATGGCTTTGAACACTTTGGTCAAATAGCCTTGTTTGATATAGGTGGGAAAAAGCAACACAGAGGCCTGGATGGACTATAGAACCATGCAGAGTGTGCTGAACAGTTAGCAGGCAGGGCTGAGGCTACAGGTCAGTACTTAAGCTTGTGATTCACATTCCTGAGGCCCTGGGTTCAATCTCCACACAAAAGAATTAAATAATAATGAAAAAGAAAAATTAGAAGGCATTAGTATGATAGATATTTTTCTTGTTCTCTATAGTATGGAGATTTTCATAATTTAAAAATTTTAAAGATGTATATGTCTGAGTGTTTTCCTGTGTACATACATCTGTTGTTCCCATGTGTTTGCCTGGCGCCCACAGAGGCCAGAAGAGGGCATCAGATCCCCTGAACTGCAGTTATAGACAGTGGTTAGAGATGATGAGAATCTTTGGTTCTCTGCAAGAGCAGCAAGCGCTTTTAACTGTTGAGCCACCTCTCTAGGCCCTAAAAATTATTTGAAAAGTTTATTTGGAAAATATCTTTTTTTTTTTTTTTTTTTTAAAGATTTATTTCTTTATTTTACAGTGTAATGTCTGCATGTATCCTTGCAGGCCAGAAGAGGGCACCAGATCTCCTTACAGACGGTTGTGAGCCACCATGTGGTTGCTGGGAATTGAACTCAGGACTTCTGGAAGAACAGCCAGTGCTCTTAACCGCTGAGCCATCTCTCCAGCCTTGAAAAATATCTTTAGAGAGCTAATTTAGGTATTTGTTCACTGTCAGAAGTAAGCAGTCCTGCATATATCATGGGAATACTTGGTTTTGACAAATTCTGGGCTCCAGCGTATAGACTGAATACGTGACTGTACAAAGAACAGACCGTTGGAGTGATTGGGCCACGGAGTAAACCATTCATTCCCTGTCCCTATCCTCATGCCTCAAACATTTAGCTACATGTTAAAATTCAGATGGCCTAGCCACCATACGTCTGCAAAGTAGCAGTGAAGCTTCTCTGAGCGAAGCCGCCTGTTTAAAGAAATACCCCCCCCCCACCCCAACAGAAGCAGAAGAAGCATTTACGGCAAACAGGCCGATGATGAGCAGTAAACACAGCAGGACGTGTCGGGTCAGCTGAGGGTCTCCTGTCTGCAGGTGCTGCTCTTCCTCCTGGGCTAGGATGCAGCTTCGGGAGTCACAGTGACTCACACAGCGGTCCGCTACGAAATAGTGAGCAGGGTTTAATTATTCCAGACCCACCGTGACTTCCCAAGAGAAACAGCACCAAAGCGCGCTCAGCCCAGACTCGGGGGCTCACTGTCGGTGGCCCTGGAGAACGCCCTCGTGTTACGGTGCAGAGTCTCTCTGGAGATGCACAAGCAGTATGCGGTAGTTCCTTCTGCCTACTTAACAAGGGTCTCTGTCTACACAATTTATGGTATATAATTATGATACACAACTTAGACATACTTCATATAGTTTACATATAATTTTAAAGGTTGAATTAATAGTTTTATCTGTGATGAATCCACATGAGCCACACATACCCTATTATGTTCTATTTTGACAAACCATGAAGCAAAGGTACTATTACCTCTTGCATTTTATAAAGAGCCTAACTAATTAATTAGTCCTGGTCCTAGAAAATAAAGCCGGGGGACAGTCTCAGCTTTCAAGAGAAGAAAAAAGGCCAAAATTCAATAGGTTTCCTGGATTTCTCACTTCAATTAACCTTTGTTTTTTGTTTTAAAAATTCTGGGGATGAAACATAGGATTTTATGTTGGGCAAGTACTTACCACTGAGCTATACCCACCTCAGGCATGTGAGTTAAATTTATTGGGAAATCAATTTTAATACTATCTTTAAGAAATTTATTTTTTCAAAATGAGTTGTTTCTATGATTATGATCTTATTATCACTTGCCCCCATCTTACTGGAAACATATTCTCAAGCCACGTTTTACAGTGTATAGCCTCAACAGGAAGCCTGTGCAGTGTTCTTTTAACATATAAGGATACAAAGGTTTCTTTTTCACCCTTAAGCCTCCCCTCACGGCCCCAGGGCACTTACTTTTCTCAAAGGAAGGCGGCACAGGCCCACTGGCACTTGCGGTTGTTACTGGCTCTATTGATGGACAGTGTACATCACCGTTTCCCAAGGAGCAAGAACAGCAACCTAGACACAGGAAATAGGATGTGAAGGGGGGCCCAACCACAACAGAAATGCCCAAGTTCAAAAGATGCCAAGCCATGCCAAGCCACTCAGGTTGTCTCCGTGGAAACATTTTCTGTACGGGTACGCATCTAGGTGTGCCTATACAGAGGTGAGCGATTAAACGGTGTCAGACAAGTGATCAGCTCCTTATGTTGTCCCCTCACTGCATGAGACAGAGAAAGGTTTTTATCCAGGCTGCTTCCTGGAGACACTACTTCAGAAACTAAGAATTCAATCATTTCCTAAAACAAGACTTTCATTCATCACTTTCCTAAATAAAACTGCTCTGCTGATGACCAATGTTGGCCTAAATAAAAGCCGCCTGTGACTTGGATTCACTGTCTGCCTGGCCCAGCGATTGGACAAAAGGCATTCCCTTCTTTCTAGATAATTCTTTACAGTCAGTCGGAAGCCCGCGTCTGGGCATGGCTGATAGAGTCCTCTTCCAGGCTCATCTCTGCAGTCACTTCTTTCAAGCTCTTCCACCTCAGGAGTCTGGAAGATTCGGGCAAAGCAGTACTCCATTCTTCTCTACAAGCACACATGGCTGAATCTCCAGCTGGCTCACAGACAGACTGCTCCACGCAAGTCACAGGGAGACATGCTGCATAGCGGTAATTTCCCTCTGTATTTATTTATTTGTTTGTTTGTTTATATGTTTATTTCCTTATGTTTATTTCCTCTGATAACTGCACACAGTGACCTTTAAATTTTTTTATAGTCATATAGGCATGGTGCTTCCTGACATGGATTGCAATATGAATAGAATTATAGCTTCAGTGGTAAACTATTAAAATGCACATGCTAGAAAAATGAGTAATACTTAGGCTTAACCTCTCATTGATAATGTACTTAAGTCCTCCTGTGATAGTCTTAAAAACAAAAGGATTTCAAAGTACAAAAGCTATTATCTACAAGCCATTACAAATGTCTTTTGAATTTTAAGATAATAATGCCACCTTAAGGTTAAAAACAGAACCACAGAATAACAGAAAAGAAAATAAATTACCTCGTCCAGCTCTCTTCAGAAATATGAAGGTTTAAATAATGAAATTACACAAAAAGAAATAAAAATGAAGAAAACATGTAAGGCCAGCACATTCCAATAACATACCTTCAGGGGATGAACACCTGCATGCACACAAATGTGTACATAAATAGGCAATCATGGCCTCTGTAGGAAACTACTTTGCAGTTTCTTCCTTCAAATATAAGGGCTTATCAGTAGCCATCAGCTTTCTCTTTGTTAGACAAACTTTTTTTGCTAAACATACTGTTTTTATTTATTTTCAAGATTTGTTTTCAGATTCATATATTTCTGTTTTATGTGCATGAGTGTTTTGCTTACATGTATGTGTGTGTACCATGTGTGTGCCTGGTGTCCAAGGAAGCCAGAAGAGGGCATCTGATGCACTGGAATGTGAGCCACCATATAGGTTAGGCCCTGGGAACTGAGTCCAGGCCCACCGCAGGAGCAGCAAGTGTTCTTAATCACTGAGCCATCATTCCAGCCATATTAACTAGACTCTTAATCACATAATAAAATGTGACCCCAATTTCACACTATTCATAACACAAAAGTCATAGGTCTGTAACAAATATGCAATGGGAAACAGAGATAGGTGAGCTATATTGAATTACCAAACTACACAAGAGACCAGGATGGTCATCTGAGGTGTTATGTGCTTATACTTCCAATAAAGCAGAAGAAAACAGGATTTAGGGAAGAAACATAACCAGACAGATTTTGAAACCTTTTTCCTTAAGAACACGGGTGAACAGTAATTAAGCAAGTATTTTACTCAAGCAGACTTCATGATAGTGTCAGGGAATCATGACACCCAACCCACTCCACTCCACATAAAAATAACAGTACTAAGTGTGTACAGTGACCCTGATATCTCACTAGGAACTGAGGCTATAAAGACAAATCAGAAATGGCATTTACAGGAGAGCGGGCCAAATAAACAACAGCAGTGATGAAACAGTGAGACGAGGGAGGAGGCTGTGGATACAGCTCAAGGGGAGAGCTCTCCCCTAGCATTCAATTTCAGTCCCACAAAAAAAAAAAAAAAAAAAAAAAAAAAAACTGCAACAAAGTTAGGATCATAACCAAGGACACAAAAGCAGGAATACGGCAGGTTTCCTACGGACAAAGCAGCTCGCTGCCCCGTTTATAACGTTGACTCACATTAGTTTTCTTGCTGGGGATGATCTCAACAAGGATTAAAGCCCACAGCTCAGGTTTTTGCTATTTCTCAAAGTCAAGTGAGAGAGAAATGCGTAAGTCTCGCGAGGGTCTCAAGTCCCTTGTTCAGTGCTTCCCTGAGATGTTAGCGTTTGGCAGCCATCTAGAACATTCATGGAGGATGACTACGGGGCAGGCGACCTGGAGGTGGGAGTCTTCTAGGGCTGCCCCAGACCCGGTTAGAGGATAACCACAAAGGGCAAAGAAAGTGAGGAAGGGAAGGAGGTAGGGCATGATCTGAGAAGTATACCGGGCTTACGGAAAACAGTCTAACGTTTTAGTAAAGGCACCATTGAACTTCCGTTTTAAAAGGAACACAGTCAAGGAGCTTGAAAGAATAAAAGTCTGATGATGCCATCACAAATCGTCAGTGGGCCCAGGCTGAAGGGCTTTGCAGCAACATCAGGAAGAGGTGAGACCACACAGGGGCCAGTCTGGGGCAAAGTGTGGGGAGTGTGCACAGGGAGAGGGGGAGGAGCCGGTGTTCAGCAGGGACAATCAGGGACGGGGACGACACTAGAGAGTCTTGACCTGCACTGCAACAGGAGTCTGGTGTGACCACACACACACACACACACACACACACACACACACACACACACGAGAGTCTTGACCTGCACTGCAACAGGAGTCTGGTGTGACCACAGCTCCGTGAGGAAGGTTAGTTAATTTCACATAAGCTAGACTGGATGCCGAAGGGTTTGGAGGCTGATGGACTACAAGTGGTAAGATGGAATAACCGAGCATTTTCCACAAAAGCCATCTGGGCTCTATGGCAGTGATTCAACTCTGCCATTCCAGTATGAACACAGCCACTAACAACACACAAGTGAATGGTTGTGACTACATTCCACAACACTGTGGATGGGAAATGCAAGTTTCATAGAACTTGTAAGAGTCATAAAAATAAAAAAAAATCTCTTAACTTCAATCTTTTAAAGATGTAAAAGAAAAATTCTTAACTGAGAAACTATATAAAAATCAGGTGGTAAGTCTGACTTGGCTTATAATTTCTATGATTAACCTTAAATTCAGTTAGGCCTCTCCTTAAAATTCATCTTATTGATGGCACTTGCCTGATGAAATGTTGCTAAAGTTGGAAATGTGTGTGTTTAGTTTCCTAAGAAGGACCTTCCAATTCCTTCCAGAATTCTCAGGTCAAAGCTGGGGACATGGCTTAGAGGTAGAACACTTTCAGAGAGTGTGTAAGGTTCTGAGTTCAGTCCCCAGCACTGAAAACTGGCACAGCGGCTCAGGACTGTCCTCCCAGCACTCAGGAGGCTTCAGCAGGAGGATCAACAGTTTGAGGCCAGCCTTGGATTCAGAATAAGACCCTGTTTCAAACAGCCAGCCAGCCAACCAAACAACCAACTAACCAACTCTCTCAGAAGTCTTAGAATTCAACAAAACATTATCTCAGATTCGTGTGTTCAGGAATGAAGTTCTAACAGAATTAATCAAGTTGTTCAATTGACAAATACCTATAATATTCAGAGTAGTAGAGTGAATCTATATTGAGCAAAAACATCTAGGATACATGTGACTGTTTGTTTTCAAATATTTGCAGCTGGGCAGTGGTGGCACACACCTTTAATCCCAGCACTCAGGAGGCAGAGGCAGGCAGATCTCTGTGAGGCTGAGGCCAGCCTGGGCTACAGAGTGAGTTCCAAGATAGCCAGGGCTACACAGTGAAAGCCTGTTTTGAAAAATCAAAAATAAAATTACATATATGTAGAGCTCATACTTGTTTCTGGAATAGAACTTGTAAAGAGTTCTGGTTCATTTGTTGGTGCTAGGCTCTCCTCAAATGCAGTGCTTCCAGGCTCTACTGGTTTGTGGTTCTGAGATTGGCCGAAACCTTCATAGTGACCAGCTTGGGTGGTACGGTTCATGCACATGAGTGACACACCAGCCATCAGAATGCTGCAGAACAGGGTGACTGCTGTGGTGATCATCTGCCAGTATCAGAAAAAGATGTTAGGCCAGTTTTCACAATCTCATCTTAATAATCTTAGCACAGTAGGTTTAAGAAAACTTTTTTGGAGAGATGGCTCCGTGGTTAAGAACACTGGCTGCTCTTCCAGAGGACCTGGGTTCAGTTCCCAGCACTCACATGACAACTCATACCTGCCTGTAATTCCAGTTCCAGGAGATCTGACACCCTCACACAGACATACATGCAGGCAAAATACCAATGCATATAAAATAAAAATAAATCATTTAAAATAAAAAAATTGATAGAAAATATATCTATATAGCTTTTTTATTAAGAAATTTTTTATTCATTTTACATACCAACCACAGATCCCCCCCACCCCCCATAGCTTTAAATACTACAGGACAATGTTTCTTTAAAATGGTTATGGAAGGAACATGATTTACTTGTAAAGAAATCATGGTTTGTCTTTAATCATACAGGTTTCTTAGATGTTTCATGTATAGCAAGTGGTTAACAATACAGCCATTGCTTTCCTTTAAGTAACGAAATGATTTCTTACAGACTCTTTATTTACTTCTGAATGCTGCATTTAGTTCAACCATACTTCAGTGAATGGAGGCTTGCTTATAGTAATGATTATAAAAATTATAGCTAATATTTATGAGCACCAGCTGGATGTATTAGTGTAAGACCTTTTTATACATAATCTTGTTTATTCTCACAAAACTGAATTAAGTTCAAAATTACAAAACAAAAGGTAAGAATTAAAAATCTTTGGTGGAAGTTTTTTAAAACATATGCTGGTGGATCCTACCCCTGAAGAATCCAGCAAGTCCCATAAGCCTCCTGGACTATACATTTGCAAGTACGCTTTGCTCAAATACACTTTGTACTTCTCATAAGAGTAACATATTTGACATTTACTGCCAAGATGTTTATTTTTTTTCCCCTTCAGCAGAGAAAACATAGCTCATAAATGTTTGTTTTGTTTTGTTTTGTTTTTGTGGTTTTTGGGGTTTTTTTTGGGGGGGGGGTTGTTTGTTTGTTTTTTTGAGACAGGGTTTCTCTGTGTAGCTTTGCACATTTCCTGGATCTTGCTCTGAAGATCAGGCTGGCCTCGAACTCGCAAAGATCCACCTGCCTCTGCCTCCCAAGTGCTGGGATTAAAGGTGTACACCACCACTGCCCTAGCTCATAAATGCATCTTAATGAAAATCAGTTAAGGGGCTAGATAGATAGCTCAGTGGTTAAGAGCACTTTCTGCTCCTACAAAGGCCCTGGCTGGGTTGGATTCCTAGAACCCACATGGCAGCTCAGAACAGTCTATAACTCCCAGTTCCAGAGGATCCAACTCCCTCTGCTGGCCTCAACAGTTTCTGCACACACATTGTGTATGTACATATATTCAGGCAAAACACACATACACAAAATAAAAATAAATAAATCTTTAAAAAAAAAAAAAAACCCAAAATTTAAAAAGTCAAGTTATAAGCATTTAGAAATCTTCAGCTAAAAATGTTCATATCTTGAGGTGTCATACCGTGTTATAAAATCACCAGAGTCGCCGGGCGGTGGTGGCGCACGCCTTTAATCCCAGCACTCGGGAGGCAGAGCCAGGCGGATCTCTGTGAGTTCGAGGCCAGCCTGGGCTACCAAGTGAGTCCCAGGAAAGGCGCAAAGCTACACTGAGAAACCCTGTCTCGAAAAAACCAAAAAAAAAAAAAAAAAAAAAAAAAATCCCCAGAGTCCTATCCAATAAATTAAAATATATTTTCAAGTGCCAGGCAGCGGTGGTGGTACACGCCTTTAATCCCAGTACTCAGGAGGCAGAGCCAGGAGGATCTTGTTGAGTTTGAGGCCAGCCTGGGCTACAGAGTGAGTTCCAGGAAAGGCTGTAAAGCCACACAGAGAAACCCTGTCTCAAAAAATCAAAAATAAATAAATAAAAATAATATATATTTTTTTCAATTTAATTTTAATATAAGAATATCAAGGTACATAAACTAGCTAAAAAGAAATTCCTAAGAAGGGAACTGCCAATAAACTCGTCCCACCTGCTCTTTTCCATAAAAGAAGGCGGAGTCAATGCTGTCTCCATTGTGTTTCCCAGTTATCAAGAGCACGCCAACAAGGAGAGCAGGGATCCTGTAACCAGAGTCATTGAGAAAGAAAGCGTGAATGAACAGTGGCTGTGTGTGGGAACCAGTAAGAAAACAGAAAAAGACCACTTACCCCCAGCCGGATATTATGATGATTCCCACAGGGATCTGCATGTTCTCACGCTTTTTTAAAAGAAACAAAGAAACGGCTAGAAGGCCTGGAAACAAGAAAGCAGGATTGTAAAAGAAACGATTACCCTTGACACGAACAGAAGCTGCAGCCCTGCACTTTGTAAAACACCGTGTTGATTTGGATATCCTGGTGGTCCAGTTTGCCTTTTGCTTTGTGGCTTTGGCTGGTTTGGGTATCAGGTACCAGCTGAACTCCTGACACCATCCTCCACTTCCCAAGTCCTGGGGTTACAAGAGTGCACTGCCATGCTGTTTTTTTTTAAACAGTAGTCTGGGTTTTGCTCCCAATTTTCCTCTTTATAAATAACTGCTGTTAGAAGCCATTTTTCTAAATTTGAAATACTTTCATCTCCCTTCCTAGAATCGTTTCTTTACTCAAATCTTGTTTTACTGAAGGGTTTCTTTTCAAAAGCATAGTGGTTTTTTATTTTTTCATTTATTTGATTAGAATTTAGTAGAGTTGGAAAAGTTAACTATATACAGCACATTTCCAAGAGCGACTCCCTTTTGTTGGTGCTAAGAAGTATCTATATTTCTTAGCCAGGTTAGGTTTTGGAAAGTGCCTCAAATGTAGGGCTGAAGCTTCATATGACACAAACTTAATACAAATGTGCCACAAACTTAATACAGACATAAATATTTCAAGATTTTTTTGTTGTTATTTTTTTGTTTGGTTTGGTTTGTTTCTTGAGACTGGGTTGCTATGTAGCTCAGCTGTCCTTAAACTCTCCATCCTCCTGCCTCAGTCTTCTGAGTGCTGAAATGAGACCGGCGCCATGACGCCAGCTTGTTTTCAAGTTCTTGAATTTTCCTTATGCCTGCACCTGTCACTTACACATGTGGCACTTAATAAACTCCACAGGGGTACAGAATCTGAATACAGGAGGTGGAAGAAACCTCCATTCCAAATGAAGACTTCAATTTCATAGGGATGGAAGAAACAAGGGCGTGCCCAAGCCACACAGCAGAGGACAGAGTGGTGTAGAAACCCAGCCTTCTGAGGAGCATGAGAAGTTCTGAAACTGTCCTGGGGTTCCTACGATGTATTTTCAGGGTCTGGAAATAATATATCTATAAGAAATTTTCTCATATGTAAAATTAAATCAAATTATAAAATAAAAAAAAGAAATTGAGAAAAAAAATTTTCAGTCTATTTGGCATATTTTCAATGATAATCACCTCGTGTCCACCTTACAATTAAGGAGTCTCATCAGTCAGCACTTAGATTTCACTTTATATATTAAGTTTGAGCCAAGTGAAAGCCAGATGGTGTCACAACTTACAGTTAAATGAAGACTGTCTAGGAGTTTGAAGAAAGAGAGGCTGTGAGATAACCAGATCATAACCTTGTATGTGTAAGTAACTGAAGCTAACCTAACAAAAACAGGGAGCAGAGTTCTACTTTACATTCCAAGCTGTGATCTACATTACCCAAATAAGATCCTTTCTTATAACCAACACTGTAAGTTAGAATTAACATAAATAGGCATGGATAATTAACACTTTAAACTAGAGTTAACATAAGCCGATACTGAGGTCCTTGAGAAGGGTTTGGCACTCTGAAATTTGGATTCTTCTCGCTCTGTCAAGAACCAGAGCTGTGCAGTGACAGCTGGTACTGGCAGGTCTTTGGGCTTGCTTTCATAATTTGCATAATGAAATATCTTAACTGGACCAGCAAAAAGGTATAGAAAGGACTATTTATGCATTCAGTGTACATTTGAAACTGTTTGATTAGCGAGTGAAGCTCGGCATCACTGGTACTGGGTTTACCGGATGTGTTAGCAACTGATTAGCTGGGCGGTGGTGGCGCATGCCTGTAATCCCAGCACTCGAGAGGCAGAGGCAGGTGGATCTCTGTGAGTTCGAGGCCAGCCTGGTCTACGGAGCGAGATCCAGGACAGGCATCAAAACTACACAGAGAAACCCTGTCTCGAAAAACAAAAAACAAACAAACAAACAAAAAAAAGCAGTTGATTTCAAAGGAAAAAACAAAGCAAATGGTTGTGCAGGTTAAGGACAGAAATGGTGAAGGTGGTTTGTAAACCAATCTGAAAAGGACTGAGCATGAGATTTTAAGATACACGGAATGGGTCTGTGATTTTGACTCTTTGGTTGTAAGCCTAGCCTTTGGCAACTGAACCATAAAATCATGCTAGATGTATAATAATCTGATGATCACAGGACACCTTGACTGTACCAGTGAACTCATGAGTGCTCTAGACAGATCTCCGCATGCACGTTTGCAGGGTTTGGAGGCAGCGAGGCCTTTTGACAAATCTATCCTCTACTCTCCCACTCTCATTACAAATCCACCTGGATAAGCTTGAGTAGGGAGATCAGCTGGGGCCGGCCACCTGTGTTTGGAATTACAGTCTCTAGGTTCCTCTAATGTGACATTTCACGACAAGTCACATGCTATGACAGGGAGACTTGCCTCGAAGAAGCACAGACCGTCTTGTGTTTGTGAATCTGTCATTCTGTCATCCCTCTCCACATTGCTGCCTCACTCCAAAAGGCCATGGACTTAGAGGGGACCAGCTTGACCCTCAGGGCGTGAAACCAAAGGTCTTCCCAACGGTCACTTCCTGGCCCCTGCTTATTAACCACTGTATGATTTCCCTTCTGGTACCATTTTACAATGTCAAATTTGTGATATAAGCACAAAGACAACCAAACCAGACAGGACTTTTCACAAACATACCAGAATGTCTGCTTCTAAATGGATGTCACATTTCAAAATAGCAATGTTAGCTTACACATTTTGCCATGGTTTTTGGAGTCAATTGAAAGAGTATTCTTTATCATTGGGTCCTCTATTAAAGTTTATTTTATTTAACCTATGTGAATGTTTTGCTTACATGTGTGTCTGTGCACCACATGCATGCCTGGTGCCCAGGGAGGCCAGAAAAGGACTTTGGATTCCCTGGAACTGGAGTTACAGATGGTTGTGAGCCTCCATGTAGGTGCTGGGAATTGAACCTAGGTCCTCTGGAGCAGGCAGTGCTCTCACCACTTTAAGTCATCTTCACAGCCCCTCCACATCCTCTTACCCACTTTTCTTGTTCTCTTATTGCCTCTTTTCTCTCTATTAAATGATTGATAGATTCTCATTTCTTGAATGTGCGCAATGTACCAGACGTAAATACCGATACTTTTCATCCTCAGAATATCTGTGTAATGTGCTGCAAGCCGGCTTTAGAAGTAGTAAAACAGAGGACCCAGGGGCTGGGGAGATGGCTCAGAGGTTAAGAGCACCGGCTGCTCTTCCAGAGGACTCAGGTTCAATTCCCAGCACCCACATGACAGCTCACACCTGTCTGTAACTCCAGTTCCAGGGCTTCTGACACCCTCAAAGACATACATGTAGACAAAACACCAATGCACATAAAACAAAACAAAACAAACAAACAAACAAACAAATCACAAGAAAACCCCAGAAAACCCAAAGGCAGTTAATTTCTATGAGGCAAAAGCACAGTTTGCAGTTCAGTAGGATTCCAGAAGTGAGCTCTGGGACACCTCTGGCCTTTTCCACCTGGGGTCTCCACGAGGGTGCTATACTGAGACCGGCCTAGAGCCAATGGCTGCCCAATGAAAAGAAGATGGCTTTGAGCCAGGCAGAAATAATGCACTCAGCAGATAACTCAGCTCTGCAGGTGTGTGTGTGTGTGTGTGTGTGTGTGTGTGTGTGTGTGTGTGTGTGTGTAACAAACACCTTGACCTGTGCTAACAGACTTCGGGTGGATCATGGATGCTGAGGTCTTTCAGAGGGAGAGGAGGGGGGCAGACTGTAACAGTCCTTTCATGAGACAACTTACCTGTCCACAAATAGGTGCTGTACAGGGAGCTGTACAATAGAACAAACACCAAAATTTGTCCAACAAAATTTTTTTCCTTAACAAAATTCCATATCATCATTCCAGCACAAACAATAGACTAAAGAAAAAATTGTTAAAAGATTTTGTAAGTAGTTAAAAGTAAATTGTATGATTCAATATAACAGGGAAAAAAACTATTACTCTAATCATACCCATTGAAGTTTCATTCACAGAAAATAATCATTTATTTAAAATTATCGCTAACCATCAACTACTATATATTGGTTTTACTAAAATTTCAAGCTTTATGATTAAAAACCTCTTTTCCATAGAGCCTTCAACAATGTACATATTAAATGAAAATGAAGATCATATTCTAAATTTTAGCCTTATTTAGTAATGATTTACATAGAAAATGTTAAACTTCTTTCCGTTAATGACACTATGCCAAGACCTAAGTGTAAAGTAAGGTCACACGAGCACTCTTTTTATTATTGTTTTCATCTTCAAGATGGAGTCTTACTCTGTAACACAGGCTGATTTCAAACTCACAGCGGGCTTCCTGCTTCCGCCTCCTAAATGCTCAGAATTGTAAGTGTGAGTCACCACACCCAGGTGAGAGTTCAATTTTTAATGATTCAATCATTTGTATTTTAAAAAATGTAACGTTATCACTAATTGCCATTATTAATCTTAAAGTTTAAGACCTATTGCAACATTTAATATAGCAAGCATAAATTAGTTGTAATTAAATTATAATTGATTATATCTGCTAATAATTGGGACTTTGTAACTGAAAAAAAAAACTCTTAAGAAAGTAATTTTCTCTCATACAGTACAATATTCCTAGGGAAAGCACCACTTAAATACCTACTAACCTGAGCGACGAGCAAATTAGTTGTAAGCATATGAGGAAGCTGCTTGTATTTCTTACTCAAGAGAAGAATAGCCAGAGACCAGATCTTGAAGATAAAAGTTTCAAGTTATTTATGTTTCTCAATCTTTATAATTACTTACTAAATAGCATATTAGAACTCTTTTTTGTTGTGGGCTAGATTGAACTCAGGGCCTCCTATATACTAGACAAGCATCCAACCACTGAGCTACATCCTAGCCCTTGGTTTCTTTAGGACAGGATCTCACTGTATAACTCAGACCTGCCTTGAACTCCAGATCCTCCTTACTGAGCCTCCCAATGCTTAAGTAATGGGTGTGTGCCACTATATCTGGTCCCCATGATTAGTATTTTTAGAAAATTCTCTTTATCCTCATTCCAGAAGAAATTTTAAGGTTTCATTAAAATTGAAGGTTATTGCCAGGTGATGGTGGCGCCCGCCTTTAATCCCAGAACTCGGGAGGCAGAGACAGGCAGATCTTTGTGAGTTTGAGGCCAGCCTGGTCTACAGAGCGAGATCCAGGACAGGCACCAAAACTACACAGAGAAACCCTGTCTTGAAAAACAAACAAACAAACAAACAAAAACAAACAAAAAAAACAAAAAAAAAGAAGGTTATTAATATAAATTACTGTATCCAAAGTGAAATAAAGGCATGAGGAGATGCATGGTTAACAAATTAGTTCTTTAAGAACTAGGGGCTTGACAAAGGTCATATTCTAAGTTTGCCTACCTTCAGCGTCTGGGCTAGGACACAATGTCACAGCCAATTATTCAGGAAAGAACTTTTCTAAATTGTTTTCCTTTCTGAATTTTCTGACCCTAGCTCCTGAGGAATCTAAATTCCAGGTGGTCTTATTTCAAACAACACATGCCTCCCACACCAAGATTAATCTTGTATTCCTGGTATTTAAAAGGATTAGGTTTCTCCTTCTCATCCTCCTCCTCCTCCTCTTCCTTCTTTTCTGGCTAGTACTAGGATTGGACCTAGTGCCTCATGCATGCTAAGTACATGTTCTAAGCTAAGCTACACCCCAACCGAAGACTGAGTTTCTTTTTTTTTTTTTTTTTTTTTTTGAGTTAAATTTTTTTTTTTTTTTTTTTTTTTTGAGTTTCTATTCTACCTTCACACTGCCCAGGAAAATATGCTGGTTAATTTTCTTCTTGTCCCTAATTGCCAAAAGACATGGATACCTTCTGTCTCCCCAAATTACCTTCTTATCGAGGAACATAGATTTTTAAGAGTATGTGATAGACTGGGTGGTGGTGGCACACACCTTTAATCCCAGCACTTAGGAGGCAGAGGCAGATGGATCTCTGTGAGTTCAAGGCCACCCTAATCTACAAAGAGAGTTCCAGGACAGCCAAGACTACACACAGAGAAACCCTGTCTCCTTTGGGATTTCCTAATAATCATACTAATCATACATTTATTTATTGTTAATATACATACCCATTCTCATATCCATTCCCTTTAAGAATAAACATTGTCTTTTTCAAATCTAGAATAATTCTGACTGAATTCAGCAGGCAATCTGACTTATACGATACTCTCATTAAAGCTACATATTTGAGCTAGCAGAATCAAATTTGAAAAGTTATCTGGTTCCATTTAAATAAATGGTTAATCTTGATCCCAAAGACTTTTGTTGATCCTATGATTCTGGAATAGCTAGTATTTGTGTGGTGATCATTATTCATTATCTCATTATCTCAAACCTTAAAACAATTCATTGAACTAGGTAAAATGATTATCTTTATAGCTAAGAAAACTAAGCTTAAGAGAGGCTAAGTAACTCCAAAGAGACACATAGATAACCTGATACAGGATAAGGAATCAAATCAAGTTTGACTAAGTTACACACACTGCCCACTAGACAACTCAAAACTTCTGATTGGAAAGACAAACTTAGTTAATTAGGAAGTTGATATTGCATTTTGTTTTTCAGATAGACTTTAGTTTTCCCTTTTGTTTTTTTAAGAAAAAGTTTTTTTAAAAAAATCGTTTTCTCTTAGTAGTTATTATCAAACTTATTTTGTAGTTTCTATTCAATTTGACACCGAAACATACTTACCAAGGAGACCAGGCTGATAATACTTATATCAAAACTAACATTCTGAATGGCATACGCCAATGGCTTAGCATCCATGGTGGGAAAGGTCAATAACCAGGCAGAAACATACATGATTGGAGCAGACACAAATGTACTTATTACCATCCCTGACGTTATCTGCAAAAATGAAATCAAATTAAGGAATCGTAATCTTACCTAAACAATTGCTTCAAATTTAAATACCCATAATACACTAATGCATTTTAAAATGAAAATGAAAACCAGTAAGGACAAGAGAATCCAGCATACGATCTGATGCCACACTTCTCCTTTCTGAGAGTAAGCTCCATTGGCCCCTTTCCAATCTAGGTTCAAATGATATTTACATATAAAAATACTACAAATTAGGTTGTTAATTATCTTCTAGGTTCTGGGAGAAGCACCCTTCCAATGGTCTAATTAAATCTATGAACAGTTTTCTTCCATGCTACTTCATAAACAATGGGGGAAAACCAACAGAAAATAATTACCAAACATGATACAGATTAATTAATGGGACTGTCCCTTATATTACATTTCAGAACTCCTTAATACAATATACATACACACCATTAATTTATCAATTTTATCTAGTTTATGTGGAGTATTTTCTTGTGATGACTGAATTACAGTGAACGAAATTTTTCCCCTCAAAATTCCAAAAGTTACCCCTCTGTAAACAACTTTAAAGCTTAAGTCTAAGCATAGATGCAAAGTACTTGGAACAAAACAAAACAAAGACGAATAAAAAAGCATGGGTTTAAAAAAAATAAAAGAACAGCATAGATGAATAAGGTTCCCATATTAAATAACTATGGTTGCATAATGTTACAGAATATCTCTTTATTTACAGTGTGACAGCTTAGAAAGCTCAAATTCTCATTTAAAGAATGTTGCTTTCTGCATTTTACAACTTCATTTTTATCTTCACCACAGAAACAACCCCGACTTAGAAAAAAACAGTGCATACATACAATCTCTACTTCCATGTTGAACTGCGTCGCAAAGATCGCCACTCCGGGGGCTACAGGAAAGACGCCATAGAGAAAGGCGTAATTCGACAGACTTGTGTGGTTCACGACACTGGTACCCTTGTCCAGCAATTCTACCATTTCTCTGCACAGAAGGGGCAGCACCAGGCTGGAGAAAGAAGAGATGGAGAATGGACATAACATCAGTGCCTGGCTGTCCCTGCTAGTAATTGCACTCGTGAATTTGGAATTTTGTTACGGCTTCCCTCCTGCGCAGTAGGAATTTATATTTTCATATATTCTGTTCTGCTGGACATTTTGTTAAATGTCAGGAATTCAGCTAGGAGCCATTTTAAGATCAATGTCCTGGAATATTTCAAACATTAGGGAATATAAAGGGGAAAATAAATTTTCACAAATATTTTTTTGCAAAAAAAGAAGTGAACATTATAATTATAGCTGCTTTCTTGCTTCTTCTATTGGTGAATTGAAACGTTAAATGAAAAAGAGGTTGAAAATCTTAGTCACTTCTTTCAAGAAAATTTCTAAACTTTTTGGAAAAAAAAGCTGAACTTTGTGATTAAGTGTTTAAATGGTTCAATTAATAGTAACAATGCAGCCCAATAAAATTCTAAAAACTAGAAAAGTCGGCATCTTAATCATTAGTTCTTGGTATTTGTAAATTGGAAAGAAAAAAAAAAGGTTCAGCAGAGGGAACTGAAACACCCACGTGGAACCGGAAAAACAAAGGGAAGCCGGGTCTGGTGAGGAATCTATTATTAGAGTCTTCACAACTCTGTGGAAAGAACAGAGCACAGTCACCAAGCCCGCAGGCTCGCCTTCAGAACGAACAAGCTGACACCCTGTCACAGCAGCGCCTAGAAAGGTACACTAGGGTTGTGAGTGTGTGTCCATGCACACATCCAAGGCCAAAGGCTGACAGTGGATGCCCTCCTCCATTGCTCTCTCTACCTTATCTTTTGAGACAAGACCGCCCACTGAACCTGCAGATCACCACTTGGGCGAGGCTGGCTGGCTAGGAAGCCCCAGGGAATCTTCCGGTCTCCGCCCTCCCAGTGCTGGAATTATAGACAAGCGCCACGATGTCTGGCTTTTTACATGTCTGCTGCGGAACCAAACTCATGTTCTCCAGCTTGTGCAACAAGCGCTGTGCATACGGAACCGCCTCCCCAGCCAGGAGTCACCCTGGGCTATTAGTTGTAACAGAGAGTTCATGCAGCTAAGGCACTGCAATTCCTTTACACATTTATGTATGTACATATTTATTTTATGAGTGGGGGTGTGGTGCCTGCTTGTATTCCTGTGCATCATGTGCATTCAGTGACCACAGAGGCCAGAAGAGGGAGGTAGATCTCCCTGGAATTGGAGTTACAGACGGTTGTCGGCTACCATGTGGGTCCTGGGAATCAAACCCTGGTTGTCTGAAACAAGAGTCAATGCTGAGACATATTTTTTTAATTAAAAAATATCAAATATCTAATAAGAATAAAAGACCTTGAAAAAATTTAACTAACATTGAAATTACAATATTATCATTATTGAAACAACACTACGGTGGAAATACTAACTCATGCATTCTGAAAAACATATTACCGCCAAAAATATTTTTCAGAATTATTTATTTTTATTTATTTTGGAAATATAAACATATAGCATTGTCCTGGTCCCATGAATTTAACTCTTTTTTTTTGTTTGTTTTTGTTTTTCGAGATAGGGTTTCTCTGTGTAGTTTTGCACCTTTCCTAGAACTCACTTGGTAGCCAGGCCTACCTCTGCCTCCCGAGTGCTGGGATTAAAGGCATGCGCCACCAACCGCCCGGCGAATTTAACTCTTATATAAGAGCTGAATTCCACATTTAAGGATGCCCTAAGTATTTTGGGTAATATTGCAGTAAAATTAACTCCATGGCTCACAAACCACTAAGCCGAAGGACTATTAACTAAAAAGCATTTCCACTGTAATGCTGTTCCAATAATGATAATCTAAAAATGTTTATATTGGCTTACCTATGTTTTGAACATTCAACCAAACTCACTGTCACTGAATAGTTTCCAAAATTCTTAAAAATAGTGTATATTAAGAATTATTATTCTTAAACAATAATATGCTTTTACTTTATGATTTTTAATGGACTTAGAGATTTTACAAAATTTATTTTAAAAACATGATCTAGGGATGCGGTATAGCTCAGTGATAGAACAGTTACCTAGCATGTACAAGGTCCTGAGTTTGATGCCTAGAACTATAAAAATTGATTAACTAAGTATGATTTTACTCAGACATTGAAAATATTAAGTAAACCTTACACAAAAGTCAAATGGAAAAAAGAAAGCCTGAAGTAAAACCAATCATCTTTGTATTCTGACTGTAAAGTAGAAAAAATAACCTGCATGCCTTAGTAAGGAAATAACTTTTGGGGTTGGGGATTTAGCTCGGTGGTAGAGCGCTTGCCTAGCAAGCGCAAGGCCCTGGGTTCAGTCCTCAGCTTCGGGGGAAAAAAATAGGAAATAACTTTACAATACACAAATAGCCTGTTTTCCTTAAAATCACAACCAAATAAGTAAGAATTAATGTTTAAAGGGAAAAAAGTAGGTGCAATACAACCCAATGAATTGGTTAAATAGGCTTTTCCCCCAAACTACCATTCCCAGATCAGATAAGCGAAACTCACAGTTTAGCTGTGATGAGAAGCGTGAGCACGACGAAGGCCGACTTCTTCAGGTGCTTTATTTTCCCCACCATTGTCAGGCCGAGGTAAAACAGGGCCGACCCAGAGAAGGAATTCGCGAGCCCATCCAGGAAATTTTCCATGTACACAGGGATCTTTTTATCAAGAATAAAATTGAAGGCAATGCCAACGAAGACCATAAATACTATCGGGTTCTGTAACACACGCAGAAATCCAAGTCCCACAATTTTTACTTTATTTTGAGAAGCATTTTGAGTGTCTTTCGACTTCTGGATTTCACAGAAGATAAACCCTATAGGGTTTAACATCATAAGAGATATTGGTGCCACCAAATAAATGTACTGGAGGTATTCTGGGTATGTGGTTTCATACAGAGCTTCAACTGTAAAACAAGAATACTGGTTTAAAGTATTTCCACAGAATTATACAAATATGTGTATAACGTTTTCTGTGCTTGTTTATACCATTGAAAATTAGTCTAAATAGTGATGCATAACCCCATTCACTTATTTTTAGAAAGGCAAATTTTAGTAATAAAACTGACAAGGAAGAAAAACTTACTATATTAAGTACCATCCAGTTTATAAAATATCAATCAACTTTAAATTATTTTTTATAAAAAAAAACCTACCTATTTTCCCATAAAGGTGCTTAAAAATGAATCTCTAAGAAGAGGGCAGAGCAGTAAAGTTTTTAAAGGAGCAATTAAGTATAATCTGTATAAGTAATGATAGCAACAAGATATTTGCTCGAGCTCATGGAGCAAGCATCTTCATTGGTGCTACGGAAGGCTAGGCAGGAGTCAGGTAGGAGCAGATCGGGGAGGGTGGAGTCAGGAGCTCAACAGCACTGCCCTGATGGAGTCCACACTCCACAGGGAAAGATGGAGCGACGAGAGACAGCTGACAGGAAGCAGGTCAGGACCAGAGGCACTTACGAATTAAGTTCTGGTCAGACTGTGAGCTATCGAGTTAGTATTTTCCAGATGTGGTCTAGGATGTGGCCCACATGTCTGTCAGCTGACAGGGAGTAGAGGCTTCCCTGGAGATGAGGAGGTCACGGAACTGAAAGGGCAGAGAACTCAGTGGGTAGCTGAGGAGGATGCTAAGGTCACGTGAAAAAGAAGGTGAGAGTCAGCCATTGAAGTCTGCAGTGGATGGGAGGAAATGACGAGAATGGAGAGGAGTGACTGAGCCAGAAAACATCACCTGTAACAGCTGTCAGCAAGAAAGCAGCGAGCAACGTCATAATAGCACCAGGTAACTATGAGGAAGAGGGCACCAGTCATCCCTACCCTTGCTTAGGGGGCACATGGGCTATGAGGAAATGAAAGCAATGGATGCTTCCTGGCAAGACCAGAGAAGATGCTCAAGGAAGGACCTGGAAAGCATTTCAGAGGAGAATAGCATGGAGACACACAGTGTGTTTAACTCTTGCAAATATAACTACGTGTTTTTGTTGTTGGAGACAGGGTTTCTCAGTGTAGTCTGAGCTGTCCTGGAACTCACTCTGTAGACCAGGCTGGCCTCAAACTCACAGAGATCACCTGCTTCTGCCTCCTGAATGCTGGGATTAAAGGAGTGTGCCACCACCACCTGACTAGTAACTGCACAGTCTTTTTTTTCATTTTCCAAGACAGGGTTTCTCTGGGTAGCTTTGGTGCCTGTCCTGGATCTCACTCTGTAGACCAGGCTGGCCTCAAACTCACAGAGATCCACCTGGGATTAAAGGTGTACACCACTGCCACTCAGCTGTAACTACACTTTCTTAAGAAAATAAAGCAATCACTTTTCCTCAGCATGCCCCCAAAGAGCCTGTTACTTACTGAAGAATGAGGCTGGATAAAACAAAAAACAAAAACAAAACATGACGCGAGGTTAACAAGAAATGGCGCATCACACAGCACACACACTGTATTTTGTGGGTGATGGAAGGGGCTTTTCGAGAGCTTAGAAGACACAATGGCTTGAGAAGCTAATGCTACAGAAGACTTTCCTAAGTGGGTGGGATCACACTTCTAGCAGTTCTAGAAGGTGAAGACTGGGGAACTGACCTGGGGTGGAACAAGGCAACTTAAAGCCGCCAAATACACAACTTGGTCTTTGGGCTCGTTCTGGACACAGAACTTGAACCTATCCAACTGAAAGTATACAAAAGCTCATTCATAATGGAAGTTGAGAAATAAAATGAACTGCCACAATCATTCCAAAGAGAGAAGCAATCATGTGAAAGGAACGTAGATTGAGTTACATTTACACTAAGATAAAGTGATCCAGACAGGAAAATACAGTTGTTTACCTACTCGGGATTCATAAGTTCAGTTAATGTCAGACACGTGTCCCGTTAAAGTTATGTAATAGGTTATATAACCTCAGAACTTCACCTTGATCTCATTAGCTACTCTTACTTTTTTATAAGATTCAAATCATTTCTCTCCCAGTTAAGCACACACATAGGTCTGTAATATCTCCAAAATAGAGCAGAGGTTAAAAGCATCTGATTGCATAAAACTTGATCAGTTCCCTTCACTGATTTCCAAATTAGATGTGTGGGCTCTATGGCTTCCATGTTTTCTCCCGCTTTACTTGTTTAAGTAAAAGCCCATCTTGATAATCATTCTTAGGCAGCTACACTTCTTAGGTATTTCACCTCTAGGAAAGGGTATCCATACCTACCACTTCAGTTCCTTGAATGGAGTATATATTTGGGGAATGTCTGGCATTTTCAGCCTGGTTTTAAGAATTTTTCCTAATTGGCCACAAGGCAATGCAAAAGTGTTTTCTGTGGCAACCTTCATCTCCAACTCCACACTCTCCTCAAAGCCCCTTATACCAACTGATCACTCGTGTCTAGAAATATCCATTCCTGGCACATCATTGATCACTACCACATAATGAAGTCTGCCTCTCCCTCCCTCTCTTTCTCAAGAATTCAATGCAAGTCTGAGCAGCAGTTTTCCATTGCCATTGCTAGGCAGCAGCCCCATCCTTCCTTTGGCTTCCTATGTGCCCAGTTATCCACGGGTAACGAGAACAGTAAACATAGTGCAGGGGACGGCCTGGGAGGACTTCCACCCCATCCTTTTTACAGTGTCTTACTGTTCTGTCTTCCTGGCTATTGTCAAGCTCTCAGGGTACCAAATTTATACATTAAACCTAATCCTAGGTAGATATGGATTAGACAACATTTATTATACATATGCATAATTGAGAATCTCATCACTCAGGATGCTGAGGCAAGAACTAACTGCTGCTGGGAGTTCACGGTCTACTATTTATAGGAGTCAGAAAAGACACGCGCTCCTGTCAAATATGGACGACTACTGTCCTTCCTCCCTCCCTCCCTCCCTCCCTCCCTCCCTTCCTCTCTCCCTCCCTCCCTTCCTTCCTTTACAGGGGCTTTTGTATTCTCTCCTCTTGATGCCTACTCCTATTAGTTAAAAGTCTGGAAATTAGGTTATCTGGCATACCCACTAACCAGTCTCCTTCTGTGTTTTCCCCACCACCCCTTCCATCCATATCATCAACTCCAAAGAGTGCCATCTAAATCACAACTACACAGAGTCAAAACTTTCCAAAATTAATATTTTTCTACCGTTTTCAGCACTTACTGGAACAGCTCTCATGGCTTTCTTTTAATGAGCACAGCCAGTCCCCACGATTGTTCTCCTATTTATCCAAGACATCTTTCACCACGCTATAAAGCAGACTCCCTCTGCCAGATCCGTGTTGCCGCCTTGGCAGACAAACACTACATTCAGAACCACGAGCTCCACTTGCTGATCGTGACTTCATGTTCTGACCTCTTGAATTTGTCCCTTCCTCAAGCCTGGCTAATATTTAAGGCCAGTCTCTGGACTCACTCTTCCAAGTCTCCAACCTGCGTCCGTAAATCTCTCCCTCTCTGGAATACTGTGATACTCTGTCTTATAGCAATGCCACTTCAAGAAATTCTAAGTCTGCTGAAGGAGTCATTGTGGAACCCACAGACCCCACCCAACATAATACTGACCAGATCTGATGGACAGAATGAACTACTTCATCAACTAATGCTAAGGGTTTCAGATATAGTGAAAATGTATTTTTATATCTGAATAAATATATACTTAATAAATAAATATATAAATAAAATTATATCTGCTATTGGACAATCTAGCTTTTTTGGATCTATATTTTATTTTTAAAATTACCACTTTCATTAGCGGTTTTTGATGCATGTGTGTGCATATTCATGTGTGTGTGTGCACTTGTGTATGGAGGCCGGAGGTGATGCTGAACGTCTTTTTCAAGCACTCTCTACCTTACTCTTTGAACGGCCTCTCATTGGACCCGAGCTCACCGATTGGACTAGCCTGGCTACCAGCACACTGCAGGCATCTTTTCTCTACGCCACCCCCAGCAAAGGGATTTTAAGTCCACACAGAGCTCGTACTTACAAATCAAGCTCTTCACGAACCTAGCCCCTCATTTTGGTTTTTGATGCAGTATCTCACACTGTAGCCTAGGCTGGCTTTGAACTCCCAGCAGCCCTCCTGCTTAGGCCTCCTGAATAACAGGATTAACAATTTATTTTAAATTGGCCAATAAAAAATCACATGTGTTATATACATGTTATTTTGAAATTTACATGTTTTAGAATGGTTAAATTAAGCTTACCAGTATACATATTTTCTTATGTACTTTTTAATGATGTGAATACTTACATTGTTATTAACAGTATTCACTATGTTGTACAATAGCTCTCTTGAACTTAGTTCTCCTATCTGACTGAAATTTCATAGGTTTTTTCCTTTTCACACATTGTGAATATTTATAAAGCAGGTTACAATTGGAGACTTCTAACTCAGCTGAACGAGTGCATAAAGGCAAAAGAAGTTACGTCTAGTGGGAGAGCAAATAATCGCGATTAAATAAATACTTAGTAAATTACCAGTAGAAAGGGGTTCAACATGCGGATTTTAGTCTCTTTTGCCACTCACTTCCATAATTACTTAACAGTCCCTCTTTATAAACTGGCAGTTAGCAACTTGAAGACAGTCTTTCAAATTGGAAAGGAAAATACACATGAATACAGTGACCTATAGCAACTAAAATTAGATTTATAATCACTACATCAACTATTAAGTCCTAATTAATTAATGATTATAAATAAGGCTCTTAGAGGGAGGGGGAATCCCATTATGAGGAGTTATTATATAGCTTGGAAGAACTAAGATAAAATTAGCCACCCGCTGTGACTCCTATTTTGATTCCTGCAGGGTTTCAATCTCTAGCGAGGAACACACAGACCCTGACAAGACCATTCCATTATTTAATGGCATCTAGTTAAATGGCTTCATCTCCATTGTGTTTACAGCTCAAGCACTGGAGCATAATTATGATTAGTCAGGGCACTTATGCTATCAGCATTGTTTGAAGAATAAATTATAGGACTTAACTATGCCCTATTAGTATCTTTTAATGACAGAGGCAGGGAGGCATTCTGATCTGCTAGAATCGGCATGTCACCTTGGTAGATAGACTCTTGGTTTCTTCTCACACCTGGATTTTTTAAAAGCACCTTTGAAGAGAATTGTTCTAAAAGACAGGAGACTCTTTTTGTCTGTAATTCACTTGACTTTAATGTAAAAGCTACATAGTAACATAACATGATTTATTTTCTATATACCATAGTCATAGTATACAGAAAAGATACATAGTCATCTTTTTCTTCATTCCCTAACCTATCTGTCTTCTCTCCATGCCAGCATTTCCCAAGTCACCTGTAAACTGGGCAGATGAGGAGCACATGCAGCCCTAAGAAGGATGTTTCTTCTAATTCATTATCAATACTTCCCTCTGAACGACAGTGGGAATTCCTAGGAGAAGTTGTGAAAACCCAAAAGAAAGGTCTTCCCAGAGACTGTCTTCTCTGCTCACCATGCACAAGAGCGGAGGACAGATGGATACTGCACTAACGAGTAACCCACTAGGGAGCAGACACATGACATAATGTTCTGTACACATCTTCCATTTTACAAGTAGATGAGAAACCTGTCTATAGGACCGGTTTCTAATAAAGCTATAGTCTACAGCCTGGTATTACGAGAGTTATTGTCTGGGAGTAAAACAAACAACAGAAATTATAACCCCAAATTGCACAACACATTCATCAAGGAAATTCAGGTTGCTATACCACTAAGGAGCTTGATTATTACCACATTTACTGACATAATGTGGATGTAAGAAAAACGGTGATGAAATGGCTGGGTATATATACTTTGAATTTGGAAAGTGTCTTAGTAGGAAAAATAATTCATCCAATAGCTGTTTTCCTTATCTGCCCTTTCTTCCCCTTTGTGGGTTCATGCATCTGTGTGTGCATCCAGAGACAAGAGGAGGAGGCCTGGAGTCTTTCTCCATCTCTCCACCGTATTTTAGAGACGGCTCTCTCACTGAACCCGAAGCTCGTTTCAGTTAGGCTGACTGGCCAGTGAGTTCCAGGGTCCAGCTCTCCCTACCTCCCAGCACTGGGGTTAGAGGTAGGAAAGGCCTGCCCCTGACTTTCTTTTTTTTCCTTCAAGCTGGTAAAAAATGGCTTTTATTGAGGGCGAGGGAACACACACATAAAGCAAGCACACAGAGTGGAAGACCTTTCACAAGGCAGAGGGGGCCTCAGGAAGTTAAAGCCCTCATGCCTGGTCTTTACGTGAATGCTGGGGTTTGAACTCAGGTCCTCTTGCTTTATCAACACACTCTTACTGAGCCACCTCTCTAGCCCCGCCCCTGCCCCCCCCCAGCATAATTTAAAGATGAAAACATCTGATTCTGTTCTGAAACTGCTAAATTACAGAGGGTGGTCAGGTCTTCTAAAACACTTACTTAGCCTGTTATGCAAGCGTGTGGCATAAGAGAGTGCCTGGGATTTAGAACCAGAAAGCCCAGAGTTGGGTCTCAGGCACATGGCAGCTGCGTGACCCAGGTTAAAACAATCCTGTAACCCTGTCTCCTTATTTGAAAGTGATAACATCTGCCCTATTGAAATAATAAAATCCCCGGTAAACTATAAAGTTACAAATGTTAGTTCCCTTTATGAGCTCACTAGTCTATAAAAGTCTGACACTATATATCTAGTTCGTGTCTAAAATAAAAACAATATTTACTTAATACTTAACACTATGGTGACAAAGACACTTCTGGAGTCTTTACCCTACACATCCTTGACCAGACTACATTCTCAGGTCTCTTAAGGACATGGACAAACACTAACTTCTGCTCTGTAATGTCACCTTAAAGTTTAGTGGCCGTAAAGGAATACCTACAGACGGTCTCCCTACAGATGGTCTCCCTACAGACGGTCTCCCTACAGACAGTCTCCCTACAGACGGTCTCCCTACAGACGGTCTCCCTACAGAGCGCTCAGCTGGGAACCTCGCTGACCTCTTCACTCTCCTGCTCTACTCAGAGCGATTTGATTTCCTTGGTAGTTTTCCACGGCTAAAGTAAGGAAAGGTGAAAAGTGTGACTCTCCACAATCTTTTTGGTGCCGGTGGTGAAATGGCTTGTGGGAAGAGGATGGGATAAAACGACTGAGGCCTGAGAGTTCCTGGCAGGTTTCCATTGTACAATGTAATGCTCCACTGAGTCTCTGCTCTAAAGATACATCATCAGAGAAGCCTTAACCCACCCCTCTGCCGCAGGGCTGTCTCCTCACATCTGGTCCTTACTTACTCTTCTGACAAGGTTTGATAGGATCTTAGTTTCAGTCATAACTGTATTTCTTCATTAAAATATGAACTCAGTATGTTTGGGAACTTTTTTCACAGGTCTCTTCCCAGCACTGGCACGTAGCACTTTCCAATAAGTGAATGAAGAGGCACAGACACAACAGTCCCCATGCTGTGGTGTGTGGTTAAAATACACACAACCTGCATTTTTAAATATTAAAAAGTAGTTTCTAGGAATGGTGGTATATTCTGAAAAACAAAATATATTTCCTCTCAAGAAACCACAGCATCCCAAATTAGTGTGTTTATTGTTTTACCAGAAAATGTAAAATCAGGCTGTGTACAGAACTGCAGAAGCAATAGTTTCCTCTCCACTGCTGTCCTTAAACAAGGATTTCACTTCAACATAAACACACTGAAAATTCAAATAACAAGCTCATAAACAAATTTCAATGTAAAATAATCTAAATATTCTAGAGCATAAGAACAAGGATGGTGTGGGAAAGCTCTTAATGCCATAAATCCCCACTGCAGGCATGAGATGGTGAGTACTTTCATAGGGACATAAGGATTTTTTAAACATAATTTAAATCAGAATATGATCCCTTCTAGAAATTAGATTTCTTTATATGAGATAATTGAGAAGAAATAGAATACTATGAGAAAGATTATCCCCTAAGGTATCAGAATATGGCCATTTATTTTAGGTAGGTAATTTAATAATCCTTAAAACTCTGAAATCAAAGAAAAAATATTCTAATTTCAAACAGCCTTAAGAAAAAAATGATGGGTTGGTGGGGAGGGTCCAGGAGGAGTTGGAGCAGAGGAAAATTGTGATCAGAATATATTGTGTGAAAAAAAATTTCAAGTAAACAAATAATGAATGATTTCCTAGAGACAAGAATAAGAATGTCACTAACAAATGCTTAGATAAATCAAAAGCTTATGTTACCACATAAAACGCTTGAGTTTTTTTAAAGTTGAAGAATAAAAATAACTTACCTATAGGATATCCCAATGCAAAGTCATTACTTTGTGTAGCAAAAATAGGGAACAGTCCAGCTTTGCTAAATCGACTCTCGGGACTGGCAACCAATAAGGTTAATACACATACAATGAAAAACACAGAGGCTTTGCCAATTAAGATACTATATAGGAAAGCCCAATCCACATTGGAAAAATTAAGCACAACCATATTTTTGAAGAGTAAAGCTGGAAGGGCAAATCTGGAGACGAAATTCCCCAGTCCCTTGGCCTGTGTTGATGTGATGATATTGGCCCTTCCTGCTATGTAGCCACAAAGGACTATGCCAAAGCATTCTAGCAAGGCTGGGAAGAGCCTTGTTATTGACATTGAAGGTGGGTCATTGGTGGAATTAAATCCATGAGTTACGGTTGCAGACCAAGTCTCATTCACACTAACGGCAAGAGTTGAGTTCTTTGCTGAAATATAAGAATCCATTTTCTATCTTCTTCCCTCTCCAGCAAGGCCTCTGGGGAGAAAAAAAAAAGGAAGAAAGAAAAAAGAAAAGAAAATTCAGTGTTACGACCAGCCAGGGTTCAGATTGAAATGGAACGCTGCAAACCTGGACTTATTTACATACTAAATGACCAAATAAATGTTCATACTCTCTTCAATGTCCACCAGGGGGAAATGCAATGGCGAGGAGGTGGGGGAGGTGCTTCACTCTCAAAGGTGGGCCAGCTCCAAATATTTATGTTCCCATTCTATTTTAGTGTCAGACATGAGGAAAATAAGATCCACAGATGTCACAGCAGCAGTGATGCCCTGTGGTTCTCTCCAGGGATCCACAATCCACCTCCATCTAGTGGACAAGAGGAGGAGGCCCAGTGTCTGCAAAGGACTCGCTTGCACCCAGACTCTCTAGAAACTCCAGAGGTTCTCGGGGACAGCTTAAGAAGTCACACTGGAACCAGAGGTCCCTTCTAGCCTGTGGCCATGCTTGAGCATAAGGGAGAATCATAACAGGGTGTCACTTACCAACTTGAACCCAAAACTTAACTTTTTATGCTTCACTTTATCGTCTGTGAAGTGGCAAGCTCAGTAGAGTCCTTACGCTCTAATCACACCCAGCACACAGTAACCACCTAACCAAGGCAAAATAAAGCTTTTGGTGGAGTATAAGGAAACCTAGGAAAGAAAAAAGTGATTTTTAGAAGTGGCATTCCCCCAGCCTCCTCCTGGTTCCTTTTACGTAAGCACACGCACTGGCCTACAGTTCCTCAGCTCCTTTACACGTGTACGTCACGCTAACATTTTCTCTGCCGTCTGCGCTACCCACATAATTAGCACTTACCCATTCTCCAAACTCAACCATAAGGTTCAGGAATCATTTCATCAGGTGAGGGTTCTTTAATCACAGAGTTAGGCATGATTCTTCCTCAGAGAAAATCATGATCTTTCCCTTTAGTCTGCTTTTCTCCGTTTGTTTATCCCAATGCCTTGAAATGACTGCCTTATGTCTGACTCCTTTCCCAGACGTTAAATGTCACAAAAGCAAAGACCATGCGTGTCTTTACACACTCCTGTGTCCCTAACATCTAGCACATAGGAAGCACTGAGAAAAAAAAAAAAAAAACTTGATTCATTAAAATTTTCACCAAATTCATTAAATAACCTGTTCTTAAATCAGCCTCTTCTCTCACGGTCAGTTCTCTCTTAGGTATTACCTAGTTTGTGAGTGGATGATCCCTCTTTCTAAATGAGAAACGTTTCTCACAGCAGTAACAGCCCCTCAAACACAAACTGCATCCTAAAACGTTATAAAGATGTTCAAGAAGTTTTGAGGAGCACGCTCTGTGTGCTAAGGTGGCAACTGACAGGTCCCTCCTCCTGCTGCCAGAGATGCAATCAGCACAAACTTTAGATAATTCCGAGATGGATCAGTTTTTATTAGCAATTTGGAATTAATATAATAGCATGCCAGTTTCTAAGTAAGTGATCATCCTAGGTTTACCATCTAAAGTGACCTTACCTAAAACAGGGGGGAAAAAATCTGGTGTTTCCTGCAATTTGCAAAGCTTGGTTAAATTCTCAAATACCCACATCACATTCAAAAGACCCAGGTGACAAGCCAAAGGTCACCAAATGACACACGGGGTTGTATAAGAGAATAGTTCCTGTGCTGCTCTCTATAAACCAAACCCTTAAAAAAAAACCTATATTTAATTGGGATTAAGACAAGTATTTCTTTTTTTTTTTTTTTTTTAACCAGGATTAAACAGGAGTGGCCAATAGAAACCAATCCCACAATGTTCACATACTTGAGTTTTACCAAATAAGCACTAAATTATACTGAAAAGTACACCAAGAAGTTCTGGTTGGGACACATAGCCAGGTATTGGTTGGGACACATAGCCAGGTTATGTTGGTACACATAGAGAAGTTCTGGTTGGGACACATAGCTAGATTCTGGTTGGGACACATAGAAAGGTTCTGGTTGGGACACATAGCCAGATTCTGGTTGGAACACGTAGAAAGGTTCTGGTTGGGATACATAGCCAGATTCTGTTGGTACACACAGAGAGGTTCTGGTCGGGACATATAGCTAGATTCTGGTCTGGACACATAGCCAGGTTCTGGACCTACACATGGCCATCCTTAAAGGATCTGATCAACAATCAGACTTGAGTATTAAACTCTGGAGCCCCTAAGAAAAGTGCTCTTAGAAAGGTAATGAGTGGGAAAGGAGGTAAGAAACTGGCCCAGACTTCTGATGCTTTTTCAAAGTTCCCTATATTTCTTTACTTGGATAACTCACAACCTCTTATTTGGACAACATAAGAACAACAGCGTAGTTGTATATTTTTTTTAAAACAACAATCTTAATTAGCAACAGTTAAGTGAAAAGAGACGACTTCGAGGCTTCACCTTTATCAACTCTCTTTGGGTCAAGTACCTTGCCTCCCTCGGTCGGTTTCTTTAATCATGCCTAACTGTGTAAAATGAGTGGAGAAACCTCCTTGGAGCGATACTGTACAGAAAGGGCATTTCATGCACAGCGTATCACAGACTAGACCTTCAAGAAATGGCAGCAACAGTCCTAGCACCAAGGGTGGTGTGCCATGCTGGAAGACAGCCCTGGAAGACAGAGGCACCATGGTCACAAGTTCAAAGTTAGCTGGGGCTACACACTGAGACCCTGCCTCAACAGACAGAGAAACAAACACAAACCTAACGGTCAAGGAATAAACCGGAGGGTGAGGTGAGGGGTGGGAGCGGAGAGACTGCGGACCTACTGGTAATGTCTAGAATGGTAACAGAGCAAAGAGCATTCCCTGTCCTAAGTAGCTCTACAAACACACCTGCCATTACAGATCCCCAGTAACAGAAGCACTAGATCCTCTGTAAAGTTACCAGTTTGGGATGTGTTTTAAAGTTACCAGGCTCGTCCACGCCGGGCGGCGGTGGCGCACGCCTTTAATCCCAGCACTCGGGAGGCAGAGGCAGGCGGATCTCTGTGAGTTCGAGGCCAGCCTGGGCTACCAAGTGAGTCCCAGGAAAGGCGCAAAGCTACACAGAGAAACCCTGTCTCGAAAAAAAAAAAAAAAAAAAAAAAAAAAGTTACCAGGCTCTGTTTTATACCCACCAACTAAGAAGAGTTGAATTTGGTTTGGTTTTAAGTGGCTATTGACAGTGAACAAAGACCTCTTCATCAAGGGGATGGCCAATAGGTAAAGCAACACCCAGGTTCAACTTTCAATTAATTGAAAATTTAAAAAAAAACTTTAAAAAATAATCTGCCCTTCCCCCTTTAATTTTTCCAGAGTTATACAAGCAACAGTTCCTAAGGCAAATGAAAATTAAAACGACTTCTAGCCTGACATCATATCACACACCTGTAATCCCAGCACTAGGCAGGCAAAGGTGGGAAGATGATGAGTTCAAACTCAGCCTCAGCCACAAAGTAAAGCCAGTCGGGACTTACACTAGCGGTTGTTTTAAAATAAGGAAGGGAAAAAAATAAAAACAAACCTGAAGTTTTATCTCATACCATTTTAAACGTGGGGGAAAAAAAAAACTGCTTCCAAAGCACATTTTAAGATGAGCAAGCACCACAAGAAAGGAAGTTTTTAAAAAATGACATCCAGCCTTTTAATCTACAAAAACAAGGCTTGTTACAGAACAAACAAGTTGATGCGCCACTGTAAAAGTGACTTCACTGGGGCAGACACCAGAAAATGAAGTGATCAAACGGTCTAGTCACTTTATATTTGACTTAGATATCATCACCAAAGCACTGGAGTTGTAGGGTAATTGCTATTAAGTTAAAACGTGGTGCAGTGTTAACTTGAAAGAGAAGGCTTTAAACTCTTAGGCTGTTCTTTTTTCAAACACCCAATATCCTTTCTCCATGAGAAAAACCTAATGCCGTGTGGCACTATACAGGAACTCGTAAACATCAACAGGCACCCCATTCACCGACTTTTTCCCTTGTCTGTCTGCAAGGGACAGACTTTGGCCCGCCAAGATAAAGAGTGCAGAGTCCCTAAGCGAATAGATGGCCCCGAGGGCAACTGGCATCTGTGGAAGTGTAAAGTCAGGGCACGGGAGTCACGTTAGGTGCTCCATAAAGAAGGGAGAAAATTTGGCGCAAAGCACCAGGTACCTGGGCAGAGGCGCTCAGAAAGGGCAGATACTGAGGCCACCTTGGGATAAAGTGAGAAGTCCCAGATGACAGGGTAGGCAGGCGCACGTGCAACGGGGCGCTCTGCACCCTGGGGATGCAGCTCTGGCACCCAGGGGACAAATCGCCCCTTTCTGCGCGGACCGTCCCAAGTGTTCCCGCAGGTTTCAGGCGTAGGCGCTGCGGGGCAGAGGCAGACAGGCGCAGCAACGGGCCGAGGCCGGGGACACACACCAGAGCCTGGCGCTGCCCACTGATCCGGACCCCAGGGGCAGGGACAGGAGTAAAACCCAGCAGGTCCACGCTCCCGGCGCTCATCTCACCTGCTAGGTCCGCAGCCCGGGCTACGAGGAGAAGGAAGCCGGTGCTCGCAGAGGGCCAGGCAGCGAGCACTCCACCGTCATCTCCCGCCCCCAGCCCTCTCTTCCCAGCGGCGTGTGCCAGCGCCAGCTGCCTAACCACGTTCCGAGAAAGGGAGGGGTGAGCCGCTGCGGCCCTGTCAGCTACCTCGGCCGTCTGCGGCCCGGGTACCTCCTCCCCGCCTGCGCCCCGCCCTCAGGCCCCGCCCCTGGCCTGAAGGTCGGAGATGCGGGTCTCCGCCCTGCCGCGAGACCCCGCCCCGAAAGCGCGCGACCCGGCTCCGCCCCGCCCCAGGCCCCGCCCCAGGCCCCGCCTCCAGCCTGGAGCTCCACGAGGCAGAAGCTCCACCCCGCCGCCAGGCCCCGCCCCCAAGCTCCAGTGACACACCCCGTCCAACCCTAGGGCCCCACCCTAAGGCCCCGCCCCTAGCCTGGAGAGCCCAGCTGTCGGGCTCCACCCCGCCGTCAGGCCCCGCCCCCAAGCCCAGGAGACACGGCTCCGCCCTGCTCCCGCACCCCAGGTCCCCCCCCCCAGCCCTCCCACGCAGCCCCTTTCCCGCCCTCAGGCCTCGTCCAGGCTGAGTACTTCCGGCTTTCCTCCTCCCACAAGATGGCTTCCCGGCTGGGGCTTGCCAGTGTTTTTTCCCTGCTCAGAATCAGGGATGCCTATCATCCTTTCGGTTAACCCCAGCCTCCGGGAATCCTGTCAGTTCCTCTCTGGGTTAGCCTCGTCATTTGATAGTATAGAGTACAAAAAGCGAGGACTTAAGGATGTGAGTCCAAACCCTGCCTTCTACCTTTCCCAAAGTGGCACTGACCTTGACCCTCCTAAATCAAAAGAGATTAAAATGTAAGCTTCAAGTTGTGTGCTTGATTTAGAATAAACTGTCAGCGACGACTGCTTCTATTTCTATTGTGGAGGAAACCCTGGGCATATATATTCTCTTAGGAATCTATTAGTATTCGTAGAAATCTACCGAGGCGTCTTGAAGTCGAAGTATGAAACTAAAGAGGCTTTGTAATTAAATCAACTTTCTGGAGCCAAATTATTTCAAATTTAAAGCCTGATCTCAGTGTCTTTATAAGCATTTCTTTTTTCAAAAAAAAATCTTGCTTTGCCAATTTAACTGTTCTGTCTATGCAACTTTAGTGCACAAGTACAATACTATACAGTTTACTAAGAAAAATCATAATGAGCCAAGAGTAAGTTTAAGGATATGAAACTTAAGAGAAGGTGAACAGAATTGAAACTTTTTTTTTTTAAATGCAGCCTACTCACTTCTTTTTGGTTTATTCTTTGTCTTTTTCACTTTTAACCATGAACCTAGCTACTAAAAATAAATAAATAAATAATACCTCAGTTATCTCAAGGCTAGATTTCTGCTTAGAAAATATGAAGATTAGTTAAACTAAATATTTAATGAACTTTGACCATTAGAGGACTACTGAAAGATAAGTCTAGAAAGGTAAGTTAGGGCAACCTGTAGGAATTTCTCACGTTATCTGGGTTTTGAACCTTATCCTTCGACCACACAGCAAGATTGGTACATTTTTCCCACACGGGAACATGTCAGCGTATTTAATGCTATGTGATCTGCCCTATGGATTTTCCCCGGAGAAGTTAGAAGAGAAAGGTAAGAACAACCATATGGTGACTTTGAGACCAGTCAAGACAGAAGGAGATAACCCACTCTGGGCTGATGGCAGTACAGATGGAGTAAGCTGGAGAGGCATTTCAGAAGAACTGTAGCACTTGATTGCTGGTAAGGTAAAGAAGAGCAGACAGTGAACGTTAAGTATTTCCTCATCCACTGCAATAAAGAGAAGGAATCAGAATAGAGAGTCTCTCATGCATTTCCCAGCTCTAAACTTCCGTTACCTGGAAGTGAAAGGAAGAACTATCTCAAAGGAGGAAGAAGGTACAAGGAGTGAATTGGTTCTAGACCTAAAACTGAAATCTTGAGGCATTATCTGTAATGGTCTTCTTGAAGTTATTCTTTCCAGCTGAGGCCCCAGGAGTTTAGATATTTGGTTTTAAAACTCCCATATGCCACTCCTGGATGAAAGAATGAAAAATCCTTCACTATCCTGTGAGCTGACAATTCTCCAGAAGGCATCAGCACACGTACATATGAATGTAAAAGGACATGTTAACAGTCCATCACTTTGAATTTGATACATCAGTGTCTGCTTATAGCTAGCTCTCACTTTTCTGCTTGTATATTTGATCTGAATAAAAATTAGACTTTGAAAATAAAAAAAGAGCAAAAATCTACAATAAGTTGTAAGGTACATATTTTGGTTCTAAGGAAATGGTGAACAAGACTCAATCATAACTCTTGTATTCAACTACTATTTGTTAAAAACAGGTAAGTGTGAAAAACCCACCATAAACTAGAACAATGTAAGAGCATTGGCACAGTGCAGTACATAAACGTAGAGAAGGCAAAGGCCTGTGTTTGTTAATCTCTTATCCTTAGAGCTTAGACTAGTGCTTTCTGTGGCATCTGATAGGCATCCTATAAAAGGCTTTGGGATGGCTGGATAAATTATAATTGCCTACCTTGCCTACCAGCTAGCCAGAAGGTTGAAGTGTTCTATTCAATGTGAGTTCATTGCTATAAAGAACTGTCATGTGGCTGTTTCATTTCAGTAACCGGTTTTTTATTTTTCCCTGCTTTCCACTTGGCTTAATTTTGTAGCCGAATTTTAATATTCGTCTAAATATTCTTTTACTTCTTTGGTGTAAATACTGTAACTCAACTTAATTTCAGGGCATTTTAAGGCCCTGAAAATTATCTTTGCCTATGCTTACAGGTGTGTGTGCTTTGACAAGCACCTAAGAGGTTATTTTCCCCTCTCTCTTTCAAGCTGGTACTGAAATATTCACACAAAAGCAGTGAGAGGAGGCAGAGTCTGACCATCTCACCTGGCTACTGATTTTGTTATTGAGCAAAGGTAAGGTTCAAATATGGATAAATAAACAGGGGCCATTGTCTGGACCAGAATTGAAGAAGTCGAGCAGAAAACCTGTGAAAACAGAGCTGCATTGTGAAATTACAAGTAAAATCAGTGAATCAGATAAGACAGGATGCAGAAACCATAAAATAGAACCTTGGGGGCACAGACGATCTGTTTCAAGATTTAGCTTCTCCATATTTGTGGTTTTCTTTTGACCACTTTATTTTGAAAGAATATGAAAAAGAAAGAAATGCACTTGTCTCCTCTTCTAGCCTGCAAGGGGGCTTACTGACTAGTTAAACGGGCAGTTTTAAAAGAATCTGAAAAGCTTATTTAAATTTGGTTGGTGTCCAAGATCAAATACTAAAACTAACCAGTAACCAGCAGCGGAGGAAACTTCAGGTTTAACCTTTACTTTGGACCAAGATTGGTTTTTAATTTTTATTTGGCAGCTTCTAGGTAGAACTGCTCAGTAAATAGCACAGGGAAGGAAGGAGGGAGAGAGGGAGATTTCAAACCTCAGCTCACCCTACTTAAGCCCCAGTATCACCTAATTAAGACGTCAATGTCGCTGGGCAGTGGTGGCACATACCTTTAATCCCAGAACTCAGGAGGCAGAGGCACACATATCTCTGTGAGTTTGAGGCCAGCCTGGTCTACAGAGTGAGGTCCAGGACAGCCAAGGCCACACATAGAGAAACCTTGTCTTGAAAAAAACCAAAAAACAAACAAACAAAAAATAAATAAATAAAACCAGAATGTCAAGAATATATTTTAGGGGGTCCGTCTCCTCTGCTAGAAGGGGCAGGTCCTTCTCTTTCAGGTAGATGTATCCACATCGCTCTCACCATGACAACACTTGCCATCCAATAGGCACTTGATAAATACTTGCTGCATTCTGACTCGTGGGCTAGATCCAACCTAGACAAGACTGTGAATGCTCTGTATTTAGAGTCACTTAGAAACGGAAACACCTGCTCTTTCATGGCTGCCTCCTTGACTGTAAACGAAAGTGGCAGAGTGGGAGTTATCCAGACTTGACTCTCAGTTTGGCAGAAGAGTAACCAGATGTTTTTTGGAACTCACAATAGCTGAAACAATGAATGAGAACTCATCATGGGCTGTGACACAGAAAATATATGATGACCAAATCTGTTCTCTGGGTATGACATGGCTGTCTCAAAATCAGAGAAGATGTGATTACCCAACCCCTCACAATGTTGAACTGGTGGAAGGAGGGAGGGGAAGGGTCACTGACCCTCATCTGAGATCACAGCCACGCCTCCTGTCCTGGAACTCACCTCAACCTCTAGTTGCATATAATCTTATCCAACTCTACATACAGTCTGAGAAAGGTGCTAGAGGCTTGAGGTAGACCGGCAACTGGAAGGGGGCATTCCATCTGTGCATATTTTGGAAGTTTGTCACTCATGTTATGGTGAGAATTGGGGAACTATTTGTCTTCAAACCACAAGCAGAGACTGCAAAAATAACATAATATAACATAAAATGGAGATGTCCTCTTTCCCTTTACCTGTTCAGTGTGAGGTTTCTGAGTTCAGAGAGAACTGCCACTTTCCTAGTCTATCTACCATCCCTCTGCTCCTGTTGGAAGTGCGAAGCCGGGAAGGAGCAGAGCATGACTTCCACTACAGGGTGCCTAGCCTATGAGGAGACAGGAGAAGAGAGCGTTTTCATGGAACTAGCTAGACACTTCAAGTGATAGGGTACATCATTGCAAATAATTACAGAACAACTCAAGAGAAGCCTGTCTCCTCAGCTTTTGGAAAGGGAAAGAAGGGCTTTGGGACAGTCTCACTGGAGCTAATCTACTCACAGGAAGCTGCTGTGAACAGATCGCTGGGGCGGGGCTTAGATCATGCTTGTGGGGACGGCTTTAGCAAACAAACAGCACTTCCGTTGTTTCCTCCATACATCTCAGCCCTGGTGAGCTTGCAGTTTTTCTATCATTGTTTTCTTTCTCGGCGTCTTTTCATATGTCTCAGTGCTGTGACGCCCAAGGCTTGGGTCTGGAACCCTGACTAGGGACATTGAGGGAATGAAGAGATTATAGACACACAGGTACACAGACAGAAAAGCCGGGGTCAGGTTGGGTGTGTGCACTCTGAGGTAGAGAACCCACTGTGGCAGGCAACCTGGAGCTTCATGGTGTTTATTACTTATAGCCGGTGTGGTCGGTCTCCATAGGAGA